GGAGAGGGGAAGCTTGATACACGTTCTGTTTGGTTGGTGGTGGTAGTGCTCAGATCGTGCGTTTTGAAACTCACCCTTCACGCTCTGATGTTTCTGCTGCTGGAAATAGTCTTTAGAGCCCCTAGCACATCGCAGCTCCTGCGCCCTGGGCAGGATGGGGATCCTCTCGAATATGCTGGCTCTTTTCGGGATGAAATCCAGCAGAGGCGCTGACATCTCAGGGGGGCTCTGCTGAGGCTCCGTGCGGTCACCGCCGTTGCTGACCGCTGTTTTAAAGGACATCTGAGGATTCAGGACACCTTTACCAGCGCTGGGACGAGTCCCCCGCGGCGGTTCCTTCCCAGGCGCTCCGGGGCATTTATCGGTCCCCTCGAAGCGGGCGCTGCTCCTCTGAGCCGCGGCGAGCTCACAGTGCATGTCCGCGCCCGGCTGCTGACGGGGCCCTCGCCGCTCTCCTGCACCGACCGGACAACACCGGGGGTCAGCCCCGCCGGAGGCCACCTCAGCCGCCCGTTAACGGCCGCCCGTGTGGCGGGAGGCGGCCCCGCTCGCTCCCCTCACGCACCGCGGCCCCGGAGGAGGGGAAGGGGACAGAAACGCGGGGCTTGGACCTCGCCTGTGAGGGACGGGGAGGCTGGCGCCGCGCCTCGGCTTTGCTCCCTCTCCAGGCAACACCGCCGGGCTTTCTGCAACCGCTCCCCGCAAGGCGAGACCGGCCGGGATGGGAAGAGAGGGGAGGGTGGAGGGCACAGGGTGTCGAGGCCGGTGCCTTTCAGCCGAGGCATCCACACAGCGGCCGCCCAGGCAACGGCGGACGCGGCGGCCGCGCACGCAACGCCTCGGGGCGGGTTTGGCAGCGGCCGGCGCTCCCCGCAGCCCGCTGGGTCACCGGCCGGGACGGACGGACGGAGGGAGGGAGGGGAGAGCCCGGCCGGGCTGTGACAGCCGCGCCGCCGCGCTCCTACCTGGGGGGGGCCGCGCTGCCCGCCGGCTCCCGCCGCGCCCCGTCCTGCCGCTGCCGCCGCCGCCGCGCCGGGCTCATGGGCTCAGCCCCGCTCCCCCGCCGCAGGGCCGGCTGCCAGAGTGAAAGCGGCCCGGGCCATTACCCTGGCGCGGCGGCGGGGCCAGCCCTTCGCTAGGGCCAGTCGGGGCGGGCAGGGGGAGGGCTGTGCCGCCGGGGCCGCCCCTCGGGGCTTTGACAGCGGAGCGGCGGGGAGCGGGGTCTGCTTCCCCGGCGAGCCCCTCACGGGCTCGGACCCCGCGCTTGCCGCACGTCCCCGCTGCCCGCCTGGCGGTGAGAGGGCCTTGCCCTTGCCCACTCCATACCCCGACGGTCCGTGTTTTAACTCGCACTGCCCCACTGCCAAAGGCCTGGGACCCCTCTTCCCCTTCCCCACGAGCTTCGGGGGTCCCCCGTGCTTGCACACCAGACAGGAACGACGGGACACCCAGCAGCACCCTATAAACAACTCCTGTGCAGAAGCCACAGTGACTGCAGTGTGCCACAAAGAGAGCAAAAACCTTGCCAACAGAAGCAGGAGATGAGACAGAGGTGAGAACAACCTGGCCAAGACACGTCGATGACACAGTCTCAGGTGCATTCAGTGCTTCTGTTTCTATGGTGCCCGTTCGTCGTTCCCTTCCTGTCCTACAGGTGCCTGGAGCTGGCCCGCTCCAGTAGAAACAATGAAGCTAGCTCCGAGCACGCAGCGCAGAGCAGTGACATTTGCGCTGGCTCCTCACAGGCCAGCTCGGGTCTGGAAGCAATCTAGCTGCGTTTATTAGCTTGGGCCTGGTTCCAAGCAAATGCAGGCTGAGCTATGGTGTGCAGCTTTGCACCAGCGAGCTTCACCAGCCCACTCTTTGCTGGCACCCTGCTGCCCTGCACGCTGCTGTCGGCACAGGTGCAGCACAGCAGGTCTATAACACAGGGCAGCTCCAAGATAGACTTGGAGTCATCCCTGACTTACACGGGAGTGAATCAGACAGACATCTGGCTGGGAAGCATGGCTGTTCACATTAGACCTAAAGGAGAGACCTTGGGAGATTTAGCATGAGGAGGAGGGACAGCTACTGATCTGGCGTCTTGTTGCATCCCTCCTGAGGAGCGTTCCGCAGCTAGAGGACAGAGATCTTCATCTTCTGGCAGCACAGATGCTGCACAGAGTGCCTCACTCGCGCTTTGTCCAACCCCTTAATAGCATATGCCACCCTGCAGAGCAAAGGAATGGTTCAAGACAGGAGTGCATGACTTTTCCTTGGCAAATGCTATGAATGTTGTGGGTTTGGTGGGAGGGAAACAACTGTCCATAAAATACACGAGATCTCAAGGTGGAACAAGCAGTTCTGGGAGCAGCAGTACTTAGGGAGCCTCATTTGCAGTGCCTTTCTCCTCCCTGCCCAGCACAGATGCCCTGATGTCTACTAAAGAAGAAGCTTGCCAGCTTTTCCCCTCAAGAAGGGCAGTAATGGGGTCTTCTTCTTCTGTAAGACCACATCTTAAATGGTCAGAAGTTAATAGCTCTCTGTCAAACGTGATTAAAAACTGGTAAATGTCCTCAGAATATTAATAGGAGCAAGATGCTACAAAAAGGGAGAAATTCCCACATGACCTCTATAGGAAACAAAGCTAAATATCAACCACGTAGCACAAACAATGGATTTTAATGGTGATGCCCTGGGGATTTTAAAAGCAAGCACAAATTGTCAGTGTACGTTATCCCTCTGCACGGCTGCTCTCTACAGCCACACACCACCTCTCTCAGTGCTCTGCTGACCTACACCCATTCCCCGCTCCTATCCGTCTGCAGGGCCACCAGGACTGAGCCACTCTCTCTTTGATTTGGAAATGCTGAAGGCACCTGGCAGTGCTACCAGAAACAGCAATTGTTGAAGACACAAACACAGTGGTAACGCTCTAAACCCCAGTGACGTGAAGAGGCAGTAAAACTTCCTGAGGGGGATATGATTCCAGGACGCAGTGTAACCAGGGTAACCCCGCTCCTTCCAGTGCAGGAAAGAGTAGGGTTTAGTGTGTCAATTATCACAGCTATGCTGATGCACACTGCCTGAACACTGGAACTAGGGGGGGGTTCCTAGAAAACAGGTCGTTTTCTAACGTCCTAGGGGGGAATTGTGGTACGGGATCTTCCCACAGCAAGCAGGGAAAGGACAGCTTCAGCTCTCGGCTGCTCTGAGCTCATTAGCCCACGTCATTCCCATCCCACAGCTCAGGACACGCACGCCCTGCTCTCACCCGCTGTTTCTGTTCCTTTTCATCGCTGTGACCCAGAGTATTCCGCGAAACACCGGCAGGGGCCGCCTCTCGCTCAGCAATAGCGCAGGGCTGAGCTGCTCTGCACGCAGAGGGGCACGGAGCCTCCTCCGTACCCTGGGCATCCTCTGAGCAGGAGTTAAAACCACCTCGGAAGGCTTCAGGCTAAAGCACATCGCAGCTCCAAGCTTCAACAGCGCGTAGGGTTAAGGGCCTTCACAGCAGGATGAATTTCTACATGGCAGGTCACGTCGCAGAGATGTAGCCTGCATAGCTCAAGCTGCAGGTACCCACATTCCTTCCCACCCATGGACAAGGCTTCTCTCACACCGCTGTTTCCTCTGTTTTGAGGGCCTCCGCAGCTGCCCTGTCTTTGCTGGGACTATCCAGCTGGGGATGCTCATCCCTGGGTCTGAGCAAGAGGAGCAGGCAGGGGATGGAAATCCTCCTCCAGACCTGGCTGTGCTCTCCAAACAGGGACCTGACACCCCTACAGCTGTTCCAAAGCAACAGCTTGGCTCCCGCAGCAAGACCACAGACATGGGAGGACCAAGTGCCCTTTGAATCACTGTACCAATAAACAGAGTTCAGCAGTTCACTTTCTCTGCTGAATCAGAAGATGTTTCATACGTTTCAGTTCTGGAACAAAGGCCAAGCAAGTGCAATTGTGGCTACGACTGTTTTGTGCCCTGGGTCACCGTAACTTTGCTGTATGCACATACTGTACAGCACACACTGATTCACCCAATGTTGTCACTACATCCATGAACTAGATTGGTGTCTTCCTTTCTGTCCTTGTGAAAACCAGTCATTGGCCTCTCCCCAAAACAGCAATACACTTCCTTGGGGGGGGGGGGGGGCATGGGGAGAGATTTCTCCATACTAGCCTCCTTGTTCAACGTTCCCAGTCGCCAAGGGCTGCAGTCTTGGGTCACAGTATGGCTCACAGCTAGCCCAGCTGCCTCTTCCTTCTGTTAATGAAATCACCATCACCAAAGCAGACCTTCCAGTTGAGGCAGATAGGCCATCTTCAGTCCCTGGAACTAATCCCTGGGTGTTGCTTCATTTCAAGGCAGATATGAAAAGCAAGGTTGTAATCTGGGATAAAAAAATCCCAGGAGGAATGCAACTGCTTGCCTGCATATTCTCTCCCTCGGTCAAGCAGGTAGGACACAGGTGATAAGTAACCAGAGACTGGCCCATATGCCCATTCACTCCTAGCTGGTGACCAAAGAAAGAGAAAACAGTAGTCTAAGGCTAGCTCAGGCTGGGACAAAATCATACCTCAGAACAGCTAAGGAAAAACCAGGACATAGACAATCGCTGGTGCAATGGTGCTGGTTATGTGGATTGGTGTCCTTGGAGCCAGACACTGCTGAAACCCCAGCAAGATCCTTGGCCTCGTGGATCTGGGCATTGCTGGTGGTAGGATATGGCAGTGACACCAAAACCAGCTCCTGAACCACGTTAGCCACAGAAACCATCAGTGCTGTACCACCACAGCACAGTTAGCGTAACTGTGCCTGAGCACACACATGGCCCAACTCAAAGCTTACACAGAGCAGCAAGGAGAAAAACACAGCATAAACAAGTTTGATACTTCAGGGTTTCCCTGCTGATACCAGCCAAGATCATGTCATTGCCACCACAGTGGTTTTCCCAAGGTCTACAGGTACTTCTGCAGCCATGAAGCCTCTTTGCTCCAGACAGCATGAGCCCCTGTGGTCACTACTGTCCTGGCTTGAGGTGATGCTGAATACACAAGGACAATGAGAGATCACCTCTAACAGGTAAGGGGAAACAGTGGGGGAAAGGACATTATGTGAAGGGGACCCCAGTTTGCCCAATCCAGCCTCCAAGCTGTGCTCTTTACCTTTGTCAGGAGCGGACGGTTGTAACTGGCCTCCACATTATGGTTGGTCACAAACCGGATCTTCAAGAAACTCATGGAAGCTGAAAACTCCAGTTCCCCAAGCAGTTCCGTGGGAGGGGAGGAATGAAGCAGAACGGATACAGGTAAGGTGAGCTGGGCAGAGCAAACAAGCAGAGCTGAAGAATTAATCTCTAACTCACATACTGAAACCTCTGCTTCTACCCCAGCGGGCACCAAAGTTGAATTTCAAAAGGACACAATTGAAATTGGGAGGCCTTTGTGTGACTGCTGCAGCACAGACAGAGGTGGGAGGTGTTACCATAACCATTCTGCTAATATAGGACAAAACAAGCGCTCTGGTAGGAGAAATAACAAACTTGGTTATAAATAACGAGCTGTCGATTCACACACAGCAGTTTATTTACACAGGCATGCCAAGTCCAGGCTTGTTTTTGTTTTAATTTACTGCACCACAGATAGTAAAAATGAAACAACCAAACAAAAAGTGAGCCAAAGGGATTGGCTCTGTAACTATGCCCATTTCTTGGAGATTGCACATTTCCCTTTAAGGCAGCACAAAGCCCTGCTTTATAGTGGTTTCAATGACACCCTGAATTAAGACAGCAGGGTCAAACTGACCACACATCATCTAGCGATGTACTCAACCATTGCCTCATAACTTATAGATGCATTTATAGCTCTTGTAGTTAGAAAAAAGAAATTCCTCACATCACTGTGGCTTATCTTTCAAAAGCAAACCTCTTTGCAAGAGCTAGCATATTTGGGGAGATCATACAGTAATCTTGAATCCACCTTTGTCTTGCAGGCGCTGCAAGAAGTGACCAGCATCTCCAAAAGCTGCTGTAACACTACACATCTCTCCCTCCCTCCTGCCTCTCCAGGCAGAATGAGCTGCCAATTAAGCAGTTCATTCTAGAGGACCTGGAGAAAACAAGCCTGTAACGAAGGGTTGGACCAGCCTCCATTCAGGATGGGGTTATTTACACCTGCAGTTACCTTCCTCAGACATTCATCTGTATTATTTCTCTGCATCAGTCCATAAAGAGATGCATCTCTCACACCATGCATACGCAATGCAGGTAGGAAAATAAACTTCAGTAACAAACAAAAAGGAACAAAGTCAGCACAACTTAAGGATATTCAGTGTGTAAACCCCAATCCTCAGCATTGGGACATGCCAGGAATAGAATTGCTGGGGCACCCTTGATTCATTCCTACTATAAGTGAGTTATAGTACCAGCATTATAGCACAGCCTCCAGTTACTTTGCCTGGGGATCCATATATTCAAGGCACTGAAGACAGTGATAGCTGAATGAGCAGCCAGTCACTCTTCTGTTTCTTCTTTATTGGCATAGTGTCTGGACCACACATTGACTATATTTACTGCACAGCAGCCAAGCACTGTGCAGAATACAGAATTACTCGTTTATTCCAGGGCATTTCTTTGCTGTCACTGCAGCAGCCTGCTGATTTGCAAACAAATCTGTTGTTATCATCACTGGAGGTGAGGGAAGGTGGAGTTAGACTAAACCCCATTTCACAGCAGAGGCCCAGAGTGCAACACTTGTGACAAAGACTCCCTCGAGATTATTTAGCATGTCCCTTCATTGTATGCCATAGAGCCCATTTCCAGTTCCAGCTGTTAAACTCAACCCTTGGCATCTCAAACAGAGCATGCAGAAACGTGGAGACTAGCAAAGAGTGGCCACCTGTGAAGAGCTGAAGTGCTGCACAGGATCTCTGTGATAACAGCAAGGACAAACCCATTTCTCCCTGGCAATGTTCAACTCACACTTAACTGTGAGACGGGGCTTTCTCTTCCTACAGCACTCGTGGTGGGTGCCGATAAACCCATCCCGAGCTGACTGCCAGGGTCTGAAAAGGCAACAGCAGCCTCAAATACCTATCTTGGAGCTGCAGCCTTACGCTCAGCCTTGTGCCACCACCGACAGCAAGGTATACAGCCTGGTGCTTCCCCAAACCTGCTTTGAGCAGTGACCTCTGCTGGTAAACAGACAGGAAACCCAGCGGTTTGCGAACCCCAGCTACCCGGTCCTCAAAGCTTGCCCTGAAGGGAGTCACCCAGCCTGGCTCTTGATCTGAAACATCTACCATTAAGCCCACAACTGCAGCGTGCTGAGCGAGAGCAGAGAAGGATGCTTATGGATAACCTATATCAATCTTTACCTTACAGAAGGCTCACAGTTCCTTCAAAATTCACTCCAGGCTTCTCAGCACACCTTTACAGACAAGATGCAGTTAAACACAACAGCATGCCCCAGCGCTGTAATCAGGTTTGCAGGTTGTGTGTCAAGAAGGGAAAGGCAAAGCCTGTATTTCTGTGTTTTGGGCAGGGGAGGGAGAGCAGCTCACTATACACTCAGCGCTTGGTTCCTTTGATGACTGCATGAGTACATACAGGTGCTGCTTTAGGCCACAGTTCTCTCTGAAATTCTTCCTCCTTCAGGATCTGACTCTTTTAGGGGGAATCAAAGGAAAAAAGAAAAGAGGGAACTTACATGCCATTGCCACCTATTAGAAGAGTCAGTGTACCAAGGGGGAACTACTCCCCCTTGAATTTGTGTTTTGATCTCATGACAGGCTCCAAAGACACCACCTTCATCTACCTCCTGACTAACTGCTGCAGCCCTAAGTGTTTTGCAAGGGCAGAAAGGTGAGGTCTTCTCCAATTTGTTTTGTGTCTTCTGACATCAGTGTGGTGTAGGTTCTGCTCTCTCTCAGGCTGCTTTCTCAGGCACAAGCGAGCTGCACAGTTTGTTTATACTACAGGCTTGTCCAAAGCGGATATGCCAGATGCAAATCTCTACCATGAGTCTGCAACATTCTGATGCGAGAACATCCGCTTCCAACACGAGAGCCTGGCAAACCACATTCCAGGTATGTCCACAGCACCCACATACATTTAATCCACATAGCAAACATGTTAGCACACCACTGGTGATGGAAAATACTAAGACCAGAGGGGGAGGAAGGTGTGTGGGTAGTGGGGGGGTTCTCAGCTTGCACTATCCATGATGATTCCACCCAGACCTTCATCTTCTTATTGCATCTTTGTAGAAAGGTGGTGATGGGAGTGATGGGAGCTCAGCTGCAATAAGCAGGGAAAGCCCTACAGCTACGAAATACCCATCTGAATGTGCTCCAAAAAGCACTGCCACCGTGCATCCCCTGTGAAAAGGGGTCAGCACTGCACACGGCAAGAAGCACCTCCACAGCTAAGGGTGCTCCTGGGGCCACCTCACGTGGATCCATGTACACCCAACCCACCAAAAGCACCAGGCCCCCCCTCCAGGATCCTGCACATTGCTGGTTCCAGTAGCTGGGAGGGAAGCACACAGGCCACAGACCGCACAACTTGCCTGGGACTGAGCAGGTACCTGGAAACTCATCAGCAAGAGAACAGTACTTCCTCAGCTGCAGCTGGATGCATCTGCAGGGGCACTTGCCTTGCCCTCGGAGCCATACGTGTATCTCAGTAGGTGGGAAGATGGCTGCTGGAGGCCTTAAAACACCAAGCACAGCACACACAGTACAGCCTCTGTTCAAAGCAAGCGACAACAGAATCGAAACCACTTCATTTCAAGGGCACATTCAGGCCCTGAGCTGCCACTGGCAGCAAGACAATTGTCCAAGTGGCAAAGTGCTCCTGTTGAGGGAACAGGTCCTGCCCAGCTCCCTCAAGATCCAGCAGTGCGCAAGAGCTTCAAGGACAAGGGCACTGCATTTGTCCACCCTCAGTCTGAATTTTCAAACCTGTATTGCTTAAGAATCATAGAACAGAATCACAGAATAGTTAGGGTTGGAAGGGACCTTAAGATCATCCAGTTCCAGCAGCTGGAGCTACCTCTGATGACTTATCATAGAATCATAGAATGGTTTGGGGTGGAAAGGACCTTAGTTCCAACCCCCCTGCCATGGGCAGGGACACCTCACACTAAACCGTATCACCCAAGACCTCATCCAACCTGGCCTTGAACACTGCCACGGATGGAGCATTCACAACCTCCCTGGACAACCCATTCCAGTGCCTCACCACCCTAACAGGAAAGAATTTCCTTCTTATATCCAATCTAAACTTCCCCTGTTTAAGTTTTAACCCATTACCCCTTGTCCTATCACTACAGTCCCTAATGAAGAGTCCCTCCCCAGCATCCCTATAGGCCCCCTGAGCTAAAGCCTCTACTTCATTACTCCTTTGTAACACAGAACCAGACCCAGGCTATCAACTGTGTACCTCTTCACAGCGGCAGTGAAAATAATTTCAGACACCCCTAACTCCAGCTAACCTGCAGGGAGAAGTAGATGGTTCTCAAGGTTACCAGAACGCTATCAGATCCACTTGTGCACGTGGTAGGCAATCCAGCAAGAGGATGCAGCTGAGCTTTGAGATGGTTAAATGGATGAGAAATAGTATCAAGGCTTGAGGGATCCAATATAACTGCAGGTACAACAAAGCCAACTGTAAAAGGACTTTATTTTTTCCCCTTTATACTCAGAATGCAATAAAGAACTTGAGGGACTCTTCCCATATCTCAGAGGTTTCACAGACTGATTATTTTTATGTTAAGACAGAAGTATATAAAAGGACTTGAAATACCAGCATGGTTTGCCAGAGGAACATAATTATTCCCAAAGCCAAAACTAGAATAAGATGTTATCCCTGTTTGAGTTGTGTGAGCCAGCTGCTGCGCCTTCAGAGGGCACCCAACATACACTTTGTATTCTTGCACACTTAGATTCACGAGCATGAGATATTGTTAAAGATACCCTTTTAAGTAAAGGCTTAAAAAAAAAAGGTCTACATCTCTTTAAGAATTGGAGCTTTTAAAGAAACCACAGAGCAATCAGCTTTTGAAAGCTCTTCTGTCATACACAGAGAATGCCATGAATCACTCGTACATTAGCAGATGTCATGTGCAAATCTCAGCTGCAACACAAGGAGGACAGACCTCAAGCACTTTGGCATCAAAAAGGCGGCTGCATTTTAAGCCTGCTGCTGACAGCCATAACACTGGTAATTACAAGTCACAGCTTATAGTGGTGGGAGTGTTGCAGAAAATACCAGAGCAATAAAAATACAGTTCTGCACCTGTTTAAATGCATGAGAAATGTATTTGAAACTGTCTGGGTCAGCAGGTACACCTGAGGTATGAGCTAAAGCACGGTTAGCTCCACATGCACACTGCAATACCTGCAAATAAGCAAATTAATTCCATTATAAGCCAGGCAGGCAAGAGGCTTTGATTACAACAGTCGAAGCAGTGGTAGAAATTAAGCCTTTAAAAGACTGTGCTTAAACCTTTAAATATAATGGAAGGCTGTCCCTCACCTTACAGTGCTTGCTGTAAACCATCTCAGAGCAAAGGGAACAAGGCAGTCCTAATGTCCACTATCATATCTAACAGTGTCTGCATCACAAGAAGATATGTCTCTACTGAGGAAAGTAATACACAGGTCTCACTGCAGATTTAGGCTTTTACCTCTTACCCAAACCTTACAGGCCCCTAAAGAATTGTGACTACACAACCACTCACTGTCGGCTGATGTTTCATCACACCAACATAACTGACACTGTTGCCATTTTGGGTCTTCCATCAAAAAAACCCTCCCAAAAAATAGCACTAACAGAACTGGGAGAATGATCCAAATTTTGTTTCCCCTTAGTCACACTAAATTCATCTAGCTTACTGTTCTCTCGAGGACATTAAGTAAGGTACTGCAGCTACATCCACGCTCTTCATACTCCATACATGTTTTCTAGTGTAGCTATCATAATAACTGGAGTCAGTTTAAAAACAGTTGTTTGTTTGCAAGCAATTTGGACAGGTTTACTTCCAGATAAAAAGCTTTAAGAGTGCTTTGAAAAAGACATTTTTCCAGCAGAAGTTAACGTATATTGTTCTGAATTAAACAATCTGATACACTGCAAACACCGTTCCTATCCCCCTTTACAAGAAGCTGTTGATCTGAACTTTCATTCACGGTGACATTATCTGGAGGTTTTACTAAATGCAGTAATGTTTCCTGTATGTTTCAGTGCAGATCAGAACTTAGGTTCCCAGGTCACCTTAAAGATAAAATCCAAGCTGGTAGCTTTTCAAGCCATATTTGTGTCTTAACAATGCCTTTCTACACACGCATTTTACTCTGAAGGAATAGTTCCATCTTCCAGAAGAGTGGCATGTTTTATTCCTGGGCACATCTGTTTCCTACTCTTAAAGAACACACTTCATCTGCACTAAAAGTGTTACCAGCTAAATTTATGGAACACTTAGGCCCACTAAGTATCTCTGTAAATCTCTACTCAGCCCTTCAGCAGAAAAGGGTAGGGAAAGAATACATCATGAAAACCAGTGAAGGATCTGAGAGGCAAAGTAACTTGGATCATCCCAAATGTCACACTCTTATGTAAAATAAGAACTGACACGTTCCCATTTGTAAGAGATATTAAAAAAGAAGGCAAGATGAATTTTAAAAAGTTTTATTATACAAAATACGATTCAAACCTGGGAGAGCTCTTCTACAGTTGGAAGAGTTTTGTCCAGTGACTTGTACTTCCATACATTTTTCCGCAGTGCCAGGATAACAAGGCTCGTTAGTCCCAATTCCTTCTTACCCAGAGTGTTGGGGGAAAAAAACCCAATGTAGCAGCATCAAAATCTTATTTATTCTTTGTATTCCAAGAATTGCTGAAGCCTTTTCTTATGTTCTGTAGACACTTGCACTGCACTAAAACAAACAAATGCAGCACGTAAGATTTTACATTCAATGCAATACACCACACAAATAAAGCCTCGTGCCAAAATTGAGTATTCACTGAAATCAACAGTTACACTGAAGCTATGCTCTGGAAAACCCAGCTGCATGAGAAGCCTACATTCCACGACACAGAGAGTACATTAACCCTTAAAACTGTCAGTTCTCAACAGCTTCCACTACTACTACTATTCTTCAGTCCCAAGAAACCTAGCCTCTTTCCTTACCTTTAAACACACACAAGCAATTGTTCAACTTGCACAAATGATTTAGGTAAGAAAGAATCTCTTCAAATGATCTCTCTGTATATGAGCACTTGCAAACTTGAGTGATGTTTCACCCCTACAGGGATGCAGGGATGTTTGTCCCACATATTCAGAGGCCAAATATGAAAGTCTGCCTGCTACAACAGCAGCTGAGACAGAGCCATCAGATCAGACAACCAAGCTGCAAGGGAATTTGATTATTTGGACTCTGCACAGGATTCTCTCCCTACAGAACAGACAATTGTCACAAGTAGCTTTGCTTTCTTTTCAACAGCTAAGATTTAGTATTTGTGGACTGCTTCTAAAGAGTCCATGAAAAGTCACTAACAAAAACTGCCTAGGAATCTATGAATAATAAGTTTCTAAAGGGAACCTAATACCTACACAAGAATTTAAGGTTCCACAAATAAGAAAAACAAGCAAACCTAAAATACCACGTTAGAATAACGAGCAGAGGGGATTTTTGCCCAAACTTCCCTTTTCACAGGTCACATTAATTAAAACTAAATTCAGTAAGCAAACAACCATGAAAGAGTTCTTACTTCAAGTGCTCCCCAAACACAGCAGTTATCCGGTACAGGGCTGTTTTCAGAGATGCTCTAAGTGCAAACCGTAGAGTTTTATAGGAGGTATCCACCAGACTTCCTGACACCCTGGGGGGCTTGCTAGAAACATGAGGCAGTTTGAAGTGTCTGTCTACAACCTGATTGAGAGACATGTAGATGAACTTGTTTCATCTGTTCAATCATTTCATAATGTAACTAGCAATATGTTTATGCCAAACAAAGCAAAAAGGAAGTACAAGTTCAGAAATTCCACCAAGGCACACAGAAATGGATTGGAGACTGAGCTTGACCTTGCATTTCCTGGCCATCAACATGAGCATTGAACCAAGTTCTGTGAAATACAATTCTCTGCAGCACAAATACAATTCTGTCCTGTATTATTACTTGCTTCTTTCACAAACAAGGTTACTGGCTTTTTCCTTCTTCCCCCTGGTCTTGGAATAGATGACTTACATTGAAGAACATTAATAACCTCTACATTCTTTCCAAGAATCTTGATTAAGGCAGTGTAAAATGATTATGCCAATAGGAAACACGTAGCCTTGGAAACAAATCTGGATTACTTCTTTTAAATACACATTACACACACAACAGTAATTTGAGAGTAACGTCCTAGCATTAGTAGAGACACACCACACAGATCTTATCTCCTGTGATTTGCAATGTCTCCAGGCTGCACCAGGAATTGTGTACAGCAAATTAAAGATTAAATCCTAACTGTGCCTTAAATATAGCATCATCATTGCTGCCCCCCTGAAATAAAGTCTAACAGAGCACGTAGCTCAGTTAAATTTAAGGAATGAAACATTCCATTAAAAGCATGCTTTCTAGTTCTGCATTTTAAAAACCTACCAGGGTTTTTATTCAGCTGATTCGCAACGCACAGAATGGCAACCAGCTGTTTGGTTTAGGTTAAGGGCAGAAGTTACACTGGTAACAACTTGAATGTTACAACTGGTCAGCAAGGTAAAAAAACCCAAAATGAACTCAACTCCTTTTCTCCTAAACTCATTGTGCAATAAGGAAAAGGTAACAGTTTTTACCTCCTGAAGAGTCAGTAAGGTATTCAGGATAGCTGGCAGCGTAGTTTGAACAACTCCAAACTGGTCCTCAGTAAAGGAGGCTGCTACCAAATGAGACAGACCTTTAAAAGGAGAAAGTTTGGTATCATTACTGAATCCTCAGCTTCTGACGCACTGACAAAGATCACAGGTTTGCCTGAAGACTCCATCAGTGTGGTGGATTTCTTCAGGACTGGCTGCAGCCAGACAACAGCTGCCTCAGCTTTGGCTTGCTTCAGGACTAAACCAGTCACTGCCTTAACAGAGGTTGAGGTTGATAAGGAAAGAGGGATTATATATGAAATACATTTTAAGAAGCATTGGCTCCCTGTTTCCACTGCTCTGATCAGAGCTGTACATGACATCAACTATTTCACAATTCTTCTAGCCACAAACAAACAGTTCCAGATCACTTCACTTTTGTTCAGCTTGTATGAGGAAAACTCTCTGTTACATTGAGGGAACCCTTGATTTAGTTTTGAATCCCTTCTCATATTAAAAAAGAATGCCCTTAGTTAGAACACCAATGCTATCTTCTGCTTTTCTCCCAACTTGTATGCATGATTCCCATCTCCTGACTCTCTATATCCTAACTCATCACCTTCAGTCTGACACAGCACAGCGTATCTGCCCATAAAACATGTAACATAGGAAAAAGATCAGCTTTTGAGCAGTCAAATATAACAAGAGAGTCTATCAATACCAGCATTTGCTCTGGACTTGGAAACAAACAACAAAATCCCATAGTGCAACCACATACTGTCACTGTTCTTTTAATTCTCTGCAGAGCATCTTTTCCATTTATTTAAGTTACTGTTACCCAAGCTGGACAAGGCCAGGTTGGACAAAGCCTTGGGTGGCATGGTTTAGTGGGAGGTGTCCCTGCCCATGGCAGGGGGGTTGGAACTGGATGATCTTAAGGCCCTTTCTAACCCTAACTATTCTATGATTCTAAGTGCCTCCCCCTCTCAACTCTCCATGACTGACAGAGAACTCAGAGCTTTTAGTCAGAAAAGCTGTTGTAAAAGACATCATAAAGCTGTTGCTATAAAAGGTATGTAAAAGTGATGTATGGGTTCACATGGGAAAGAAGCAACAAGTTTAGGAATCTCTACCAAACCTTTACAGAACATAAACTAAGATCTCGCACGGGATCTCAAAACTAACAAGTGAATTAGACCTTTATTCCCATCAGTACCTGAAGTGCAGCTGGGTTTTTGTCAAGTAGATTCAAAGATTTTTCTTCCATTACATTTTAAAGCACAGAGCCCCCAAAACCTGGAATCAGACCCTTTTAGTTTTTGTAGTTCCATGAGCCAACAGAGTGGATCCCCTGGGAATGGGCACAGCTTACCTTCCAAAGCCCAGATGTGCATTTGGGCATCAGAGAAGACAGCTTGGATGGAGGCTTCTGGGTGCTGAGAAGAAATCAAAGCATTCTGAATGCATTGAGAAACAGTATCACCAAAATTGCAGGCTTCAATTAAGGTATTACACATTTGATAGGGTCCCATCCCTCCCCTCAGAAAAGACCTGAAAAGCTGACACCTCTCATGGAATTCCCAAAGAAATCTGACCTTTTAAGGAACTAAAATTAGTTTGGGACAGAACTTTCCACAAAGGAAAACCATAAAGAATTTACTTGGTACACTGACCTAATGAAAAACAGTTAGCTGCATTTTAAAGTTAACTAGAAACCATCACACCTTACAATTAGCTGTGTTTTACTATTACGTGATGCCTTATGTAAAAAAAGCAGTTTAAACGAGTATTATTCTTCTCTTTTATGCAGATAAAAGACAATCCTGCTACAGAACTCACACAAAGCAGAAAACCTTAGATTAAAAGGGTTGAGAGCTGTTACTGTATGCAAAATGTACCGCCACAGCAGAACCCATATGCTCACGCATTTTTAGTCCACGCTGCACAGTCACAAACCCTAAGATCATGATTACCTTGCTGAAGAAATACATTATCAGCACTCGTTTTGACAAGAAGGTTTTTATCTGAAAAGAAACAAAAGATTAAAAATATCCTCTGTATTTACCTAAGGTATGTACAATTGGCCCTACCATCTTCGCACAGTATAAAGGGACTCGGGGGGAGAGGGTTTTTCTTATGTAAGTAACTGGAGAAGGAAGTATTCATCCAAAAACCCCTGAAAGCTCTTCCAGAGGAGAGAACACCTAAGCTGCACTGGCTGTAACCTATCTGTACAGCAATTTTACTTTACCTGTTCTTGCTTGTTCTGAAGCCATGTGTAAATAAATCTCGGCTGTACTGTCTCATGGCCAGCTTTTGCAGCTGAGAGATCTGGGAAGGATTCATGGTGGGAACCATTCATGTGCAGATCTAGAGAAGAAATACAGTATCTTCAGCAAAACTGGTTGCTGTCACTTTAATCCTCAAGATACAGATCTCTATTGACACAGCTACTACACTCCTGGCTACAGGGATAGAGCTGTCAAAAAGCATCTACCTGTAACTGACGTCCACAGCTTGGGGCCCCTCCTTATAACATAAGGACTTTGGGATGATCCATGCCAAGGAGACTTTACATCCAGAATTCCCATCTTGCCATTTAAAGCAGGTGAGCTGAAAGGTGAACCAACATCAGACCCCGGCGATGCCTTTAAAGACATTAGGGGTGACTTAACCATCGAAGACATGGAAGCTCTGGGAATGATATTCGATCTCGGTGACTGGAAAGACATGGCTTCTGTCGCAACAGCTCCTGACAACAAAGAACACACTGCATGAAGACAAACAGGCTGGTGCAGGTGAAATAAGAGATGGGTTTGCTATTGCTTACTATTTCAACAACTTCTCTATCATCAGAGCCTTTATTAAAGAACACTGTTATCATTGTGGTCTTGCAAACAAGTACACATCAGCATGAGTACAAAGTGTTTTAGAAGTTGATCAGTTTAAGAACAGCAGGTAATGAAAAGGATTCTTATGGATCTATTTATTTTTCTACTTTTGTTAGCCATCATTACTACACCCTGATATATATCTATATATATCCTGAATAAAAGCATACTGTATTTATAAAGTGTGCTTTTAGGATTAAGAATGGCAATCCTTTCTGATTCTGCTCGGTTTGTAAGAGAAGTCAGATCATCTCAAAATCCAAGGAACAGCAGCACTAGGAGAAATTCACCTCTGACATGCCAACAGTCCCCTGCTGTTCCCAGGGCACCAGTATCCTAGGCACTAACTGCTAAGGGATTCAATTAGTGGCACCCCTCGTGCCAACACTGCTCTGCTGCCAGGAATGATGCCCACGTCTGGCATGTAAAGCACCTGGAACGCTTGCAGGCTCCAAGAATCAGGCTGGCTTTTCTTATACTACAGTGATATTAGTGAGTCACACAAACATATGCTTGTCTGTGGGAGTGCTCATCTGCTGGAGGGTAGGAAGGCTCCACAGGGGGATCTGGACAGGCTGGATCCATGGGCAAGGGCCAATTGCATGAGGTTCAACAAGGCTCAGTGCTCGGTCCTGCACTTGGGCCACTATCACACCATGCATTGCTACAGGCTGGGGAAAGCACAGCAAGCTTTTGCTGCTTGGCAGAAAAGTGAGCCCAGGTGGCCAAGGCCAATGGCATTAGAAACGGTGTGGCCAGGAGGGCTAGGCAGTGATTGTCCCCCTGTACTCAGCACTGATGAGGCTGCACTCCAAACCCCGTGTTCGGTTCTGGGCCCCTCACTACAAGAGAGACATTGAGGTGCTGGAGGGGGGCCAGAGAAGGGCAATGGAGCTGGTGAAGGGCCTGGAGCACAAGTGTGATGGGGAACGGCTGAGGGGAATGGGGCTGTTTAACCTGAAGATAAGGAGGCTCAGGGGAGTCCTTAGTGCTCTCTGCAACTACCTGAAAGGAAGATGAAGCAAGGGGTGGGTCTGTCTCTTCTCCCAGTTAAGAAGCGATAGGACAAGAGGGAATGGCCTCAAGCTGTGCCAGGGGAGGTTTAGACTGGAGATTAGGAACAATTTCTTCCCTGGAAGGGTTGTCAAGCATTGAGCAGGCTGCCCAGGGAAGTGGAGTCAACATCCCTGGAGGTATTTAAAAGACGTGCAGATGTGGCACTTTATGGCACGGTTTAGTGGTGGACTTGGCAGTGCTGGATTAACAGTTGGACTTGATTATCTTAAAGGGTTTTTTTTTCACCTAATCAATTCTATGATTCTATATTCAAAGTCATTACAACAACAAAATAAAGACTGATTTGACCATCTAAACTAATCGTAAGAGCAGCTATGCAAATTACAGAGCATCTCTTGGCAAGACTTAACTTCTCCCTGTACTAGATTACCAAATCAGGAATAATTACACTTTCTGAATTCATGCAAGTGTGGAAAAAACAGTGTACTGAACATAACACCATGCCAAGTAACCAGAGTAAAGATGATCTTTCCAAGTTTTCCAGTTATTTTAGATTACCTTGACAAGAATACCTTAAATTCAATGGGGAAGAGACTCTGATTGCATTTATTTGCAGAAAACCCCATGCCTCATTTTCCCCATACAACTTAATTGAGACTAATGTGCCTATGTAATCCGTTGTTGCCTTCCTGCTTTATGAACTGTTACGAGTGTTTCCTCACATACCTGGAGTCTGTGGAGGTATTTTCAGCTCTCCTGCTGGCAGCTTTGCTCTCCCATTTGCTGCTGCAGCTTCCTGCTGTGCCATCAGCCTCTGGGTCAGATCACTCAGAAGATTCAAACACTCTCTTGATATCGCAGCCCAGTTGTGCGGGTGCCCACCTAGCAGCATGCACACAAAAGGAAACGCAGCAGGAATATTTAACCCACACGTTCACCCTCGTAGCTGTTCTGACAGTGCCTGTGTGATCTCAGTATAAGCTTCGAACTTATAGTACCAGTCCATTTCTAAGAACACACAGGGCATTTTCACTGTGATAGCTTATTTATACTGAGGGGAAGATGAAAACATGGAAAGATTCTATCCTTCTGCCAAGGGATAACTCCAAAAAGACTTTAGTGAAACTTGCTAAGCAAGCAGAAAACAGGCAGTTCTGCCCATCGGATTTAAAATCACTAACCAACTAAAATGAACCAAGTAGTATCAATGATGATGGTAAACAGTTCTGAAATAGTACAAACACTAGAATTCCTGATAAAGTGGAACAAAAAGTTCCTGAAGGCTTCCAAGCAGTTTTCATTGACCTTCTCTTTGTATATCTTTATATATAGCAAGAGGCTGACGTACTAACTAAAATTACAACCATTGTTTGCTTTCACAGCTCCAGTGGTGACTCACTATTCGTGCTTGATTTTACCTCGTATCTCAATGCTATGCGTTCATATGCATCTGTTAGATTATTCAGTTTGGACTATGGGACTGGTGGTGTCAATACCCTAAGACCTGTGCTTCCTCACGGCTGTCATTTAGATCAAACAACAAGCAGCAGCGTTTGTCAAGTTTCGGAGATGAAACAATATTAAGCATCCTTTTGGAAAAGGCACCATAGGGATGAGGTCTCCTGGCTTATGTGGCATGCCTCGCAGTGTTAATGACTTGCAAAAGCATTTGACTAACACTACTACAAGAAAGAAAATGAATCACCAGTAGTTTTGCAATTACCTGGCTGACTAAGGCTAAAGACTTCTTGTCGTCGAATAGGGGAATACTGGGAAAGTAACATCAAGTCTTGTAAGGCTAAAAACTACAAAGAAAGGAAAATGTTTTAGTGCATGCGAAGTCCAATGCATTTCCTTAAAAACAACCCCCAAAGGTAGGTATCCATACAACAGCAATCCCTAACAAAGAGAGAGTTCACACAGAATAAAATCAGCCACATAACAGAAAAAGAAAGGAGGTGAATGACCACACACATCCCCCCCAGAACCACTCTGCATGAAGCTGCTGAGTTAGCCAGAGCTTCAGATAACTTTACTGATACGCTGTTTCTCTGGAGTTAAAGATCTAACACTACTTTTTACCTTAACAGCTAGCTACTCAGATAGAAAGAACCTAAGACACAAAGGGTCTAAGGAAAGAACTGATCTTTCAATCTAGAGCACACTATGCAGTATGCTGTACAGTACCAGACCTAACACTGCTTTTTCAGGTGATGAAGTAATTAACGTGGCAAACTAAAAATAACCACATAACTCACACTATGTAAAACCCAATTATAAACTAGACACCAGTAACTGCTGAGATTATAAATTAGACTTCCTCTCCCTTCAACTGTGCTACGCTTGACTCTTCCCCACCCATCCTTTGATAATGCAGCAAAGCTTAAAAAAAGGATTCAAATGGATTGCAGCCTCATCCATCTCCAGTATTAGAGATCTGTAAAATCAGTAAATGCGGATTTTGAATGTGCAGAAAAATATCTTCATCCTTATTTACATAATACTTTTTGAAGTCTCCGATTTCTAAGTATTAGACTCTGTGAATCCCATCAATGATTACCATAGTCAGACCAAATTTACTCTTCCTTACCCACAGATTTTAAGTAGCTTTTCAGTATTTTCGTTTTAAAGAAATAAACCCAAGTTGCAGCATAAACATGGAAATATCTTTCGAATGTCATGAGAGAACACCCATGTAAGAGCTCAAATGGAAGTAGCAGGGGCAAAGCGTTGAGAGTATACAAAGGTGTGACAGAACACCTGCTTATCCAACAAGCTGAAAGAGTTTCAAAAAGCCTGAATATCACTAACCTGTTAGTTTTACATCAGTACACACTAATACAGTTCTGTTCCAGACACATCTTGCCTGTATTACATTAGCCTGTCCTTGACTTAGAGTAACAGTGTGGTGAACACCAGCAGATGTCACTACTAAACCGATTTTCACCATTAAGCATCACTTCCTCCTGTTCTGAGGCAGCTTTGTAAAGAACTAGCTCCCCAGTTAAATTAACTGGTAGCTGGAAGATCTGATTGCACGCTTTGAGAAACAACCTCTCAGCACACACCTCGTTGGGAAGCTGGTGGGAATTCAGTTACCTTTATAAAGAGGGGAGGATTGCTGTTTAGGATTTTAGGCAGGCACTGGTCTGTCTCCTCAGCAAAAGTTGGCTGGACAGGAAAATGATGTGTCTAAATAGAAACATCAGAAGTTGTGTTATACAGAGCAAAACAGAAGAAAGCCTTATGACAAACCATACCCAAGCTGTTACATGTCAGATGATGAACTACAAAAGCACATAAAAGCTTCAACTGACTGTAAACTAGCCTGAAATTTCTAAGATAAAAAACAAAAGGACTTTACTCCTTATGTTTAAAATCGAGAAACCTTAGGAAAGAAAAACAGAAAACCCAGCTATCTTCAAATGCCTTTCATGTACACAAATAATTTAGAGTTAGGGCATCATATCAATATGAAATTCCTCTAACTGGGTTAGAGCTTGTTAGAGCAGGGGTTACTGAGCCTGGAGAAGAAAGGGCCCTGGGGAGGCCTTTAAGCAGCATCCAGTGCTTAAAGGGTCCTACAGAAATCTGGAGAGGAGCATTTGACAAGGGCCTGTAGGGACAGGCCAAGGGGAATGGCTTGAACCTGACAGAGGGGAGACTGAGCTGAGCTCTTAGGCAGAAGCTCTTCCCTGTGAGGGTGCTGAGGCGCTGGCACAGGGTGCCCAGAGAAGCTGTGGCTGCCCCATCCCTGGCAGTGCTCAAGGCCAGGTTGGACACAGGGGCTTGGAGCAAGCTGCTCCAGTGGAAGGGGTCCCTGCCTGTGGCAGGGGTTGGAGCTGGATGAGCTTTAAGGTCCCTTCCAACCCAAACCATTCTAAGGTTTCCCAGGAAAAAAACAGTGAAACCATATTCAGGAACAAAACTGAAATCAAAGCAGCACTGTCTGTCTTTAACAGTGTAACCACTCTGGTGAAGTGTTAAGGGTTCTTTTACCAAATAATAAAAGAAATTAATTTTTTGCACTCTTTCACTGATAAACTAAGGAATTCTTATTTTTATTCTGTGTTCTAATGGAATTTCTGTCCTATAGCGACAACATTTACAATGTAAATAGCAGTGCTTACATTGTATCAAACATTCCATCAAACACTGCATCTATTTGATGCTATTTAACATGGATCAATTTGGGCACAGTCTAGGGGTCGGTTTTGTGTTACTGCACTCATTACACATAGCCTAGCTTTATTCTCTTCTGTTTCCAGGCTGTGAAATTGAAATTTAAGGTAGCAATTGCTTTCAAAGTGTTAATAAAGTGACTTCATGGGGACTAAGCATGTATTTACAATCAGATTAGGAGCTTTTTTAGCTCATTAAAAAAAATCATGTGGACACAGCAATCTTTTGTTCAACAGTCAAAAGGGCAAGACCTATTTTATACCTTCACAGCTGGATGTTTCTTTTGTCTTTCAGTTTCATAAGCAAGACAATAATTAACAGACATTGACACGCAGTGTTCACTGGTGCTTCAACTACTGCCCTTTGAAACAAGATGTTCACACCTCAGAGCTGGTTTTGGAGCCGTCTACTGATGGTGACACATCATTACACCAGTTATGCTCGACCCGTTGCTAATCTTTGCTCCATTGCAGTCACAACAACCAGACCTTTTGAATTAAAGCTAACATTTCAACAAGCACTGTGTGCCATTTCATTCCATAAGAGTGCTTTGCACCAATATCTAGATCTAGCTTTTACACTTCATTTTCCTACTAATCTGTAGTCTAGGAATGTTTAAAAATGAAAATCAAGTTAGGTGAACTTTTTTTTTCCCCTCTGTATTCTTATAAAGAAATATCTGAATTTGTCAAAAAAGATCAAATCCCCTCCAGTTCTTCGTTGGCAAGATTTATTTCCCACCCCCCCCTTCAATCACAGTCACACATTTATTCCAATACAATTCATTATATATTTAAATGGTCTTATTTTAGCCATATGAATTTGTAACTTTATGACTGAATGAAAAAGCACAAGTGTCTTAATTCCCAGGATTGCTCGAAGACTATTTCAATACCACAGCCTGAATTAGATTAACACATCTCTGCTTTGGAGAACTGTGCTTTGATGGTTTGCTTAAATTTGAGATTTCCTGAGTTTAGCTCCCGGAAAACAGATATAATTTTGTTCTCTTTCCTATTGTAAAACTGGATTCAGAGCTATGGAGTTTCTGGATATAATCTTCCCATGTAACCTGCATCTGTGTCATAGAATCACAGAATCATAGAATAGTTAGGGTTGGAAAGGACCTGAAGATCATCCAGTTCCAACCCCCCTGCCATGGGCAGAGACACCTCACACTAAACCATATCACCCAAGGCCTCGTCCAACCTGGCCTTGAACGCTGCCAGGGATGGAGCATTCACAACCTCCCTGGGCAACCCATTCCAGTGCCTCACCACCCTAACAGGAAAGAATTTCCTCCTTATATCCAATCTAAACTTCCCCTCTTTAAGTTTTAACCCATTACCCCTTGTCCTACCACTACAGTCCCTAATGAAGAGTCCCTCCCCAGCATCCCTATAGGCCCCCTATCAGATACTGGAAGGCTGCTATGAGGTCTCCACGCAGCCTTCTCTTCTCCAGGCTGAACAGCCCCAACTTTCTCAGCCTATCTTCATATGGGAGGTGCTCCAGTCCCCTGATCATTCAAAACATCACTGCGTGGATACACATGCAGAAACCAAGCTAGTGAGCTCTGCCCAACACATACGGGCCTGGCACTGGCTCATTTAGCACACCAAAAGAGGACAGAGAACGTGGTGCAGACTCCATGAAGCACAAAGAGGTTTTTTGCTTGGGTAGCCCCAACAGCATCTGCACTGATTTAGCAGCAAACATGAACAGGAAAAGGGGAACATGGAAACAGATGTAGAGGAGTAAGAAAAGGAAGTGGCAACAACAAAGCATTCATTTTGTAAGAAGCACAGGCTTGTCTTGCTATAAGGAGAGAAAGGGAAAGCCCAGATCTCTCTCAACTGTTCAGCTATCAGCTATTATCTGTAGTACATGCTTTGAAAATTCAGAATTCATAATAATAATAAAAACCCTTTTGAAAAGAAAGCATTATCTGAGAAACACCGATGCTACACCTTTAGCAGTCACTAAGTACTAACCTCTGTAGCGTAGATTTTGAAGAGTAACCATGCAATGTACCAGGTAATCAGTAGAAACACGCCACATAACCAGGTATGGTAAACCAAGGAGATATCCAATAAGCCAGTCAGAGTGTCAAGAGGATGCAATTTACTGCAGAAATAAACCAGCAAGGAGGTAAGTTATTTCTATTAGGGAAGATGTCTATATTAAGCTGTTACAGTAGCAACAACTGCAAGAATGGAAGTTGCATTACTTTTTCGGCAACAACAGTTTCTTAAAGATGTTTGAGATACTGAAAAACAACTGGTAACTGTGATGACATGAAGAAAATATTATGAAATTAAAAATACTATGAATTAAAGAAAACTCAGGTCCTAAGACTCTAGCTTCCCTATTTCAAAACAAGCAACACATATATGCAATTTGGACAAATAAGCCTTTCCAATACTTTAGAGACCTAGATATGCAGGAGAGAGCATTTCTTAATGCCAGGTTGAATGGGGCTTGTGCAACATGGTCTAGGGTGAGGCGTTCCTGCCCATGGCAAGGGGGTGGAACTGGATGATCTTAAGGTCCTTTCCAATCCAAACCATTCTATGATTCTATGGGTTCTACAAGGGGCTGTTGGTTCCTTTTGGATTCATTTCAGAAGTACCTAATGCTGCCCATGTTCTCTGTGGGGAGAGAAGGAAGAGTCCTACTACACATAGAGGCAGTTGCTGAGCTGGACTTCTTCAAAGGGGCTGTGAGCAATATTCTCTCCCATGTTTTCAGCACAACGTACTACCTACCTGTCTATCTGAAGATCCATCGTGGTACTTATCCATATCTTTGGGATGTAACCTAGGGGATCAAAGAGAAGTGCTGAAACAAATAAGACACTGCAAAACACACAAAAGGCCACAGAGAAGACAAAAGCATGCATGGATACAGACAAGAAACTGGTCTTGTAACACTTGCGTAACAGGAAACAATCTGCCTTTGGGATTTTTTTGGTTAGGGTGTTTCCTAAGAAATAGAAATAAGAGAATGAAAAAAAGGCCTTAGGCCAGCAACTACACACTGAGAGCTGCAGACGTTATCTTTCATTGCTGGCTTCTCAGCACTGAGTTCACAGTATCACAGTATGTTAGAGATTGGAAGGGACCTCAAAAGATCATCTAGTCCAATCCCCCTGCCGGAGCAGGAACACCTAGATAAGGTTACACAGGAACGTGTCCAGGCGGGTTTTGAATGTCTCCAGAGAAGGAGATTCCACAACCTCCCTGGGCAGCCTGTTCCAGTGTTCTGTCACCTCACTGAGAAGAAGTTTCTTTCAAGTTTAAGTGGAACCTCTTGTGTTCCAGTTTGTACCCATTGCCCCTTGTCCTATCATTGTTTGCCACTGAGAAGAGCCTGGCTCCATCCTCGTGACACTCCCCCTTTATATATTTATATACACTAATAAGGTCACCCCTCAATCTCCTCCAAACTATAGAGACCCAGCTCCCTCAGTCTCTCCTCATAAGGGAGATGCTCCACTCCCTTAATCATCTTAGTTGCCCTGCGCTGGACTCTCTCCAGCAGGTCCCTGTCCTTCTTGAACTGAGGGGTCCAGAAATGGGCACAATATTCCAGATGCGGTCTCACCAGGGCAGAGTAGAGGGGAAGGAGGACCTCTCTCGACCTACTAACCACCCCCCTTCTAATACACCCCAGGATGCCATTGGCCTTCTTGGCCACAAGGGCACAGTGTCGGCTCATGGTCACCCTGTCGTCCACCAGGACCCCCAGGTCCCTCTCCCCTACACTGCTCTCTAACAGGTCGTTCCCCAGCCTATACTGGAACCTGGGGTTGTTCCTGCCCAGATGCAGGACTCTACACTTTCCCTTGTTATATTTCATCAAGTTATTCCCAGCCCAGCTCTCCAGCCTGTCCAGGTCCCTCTGGATGGCAGCACAGCCTTCTGGCGTGTCGGCCACCCCTCCCAGCTTAGTGTCATCTGCAAACTTGCTGATAGTACACTCAATTCCCTCATCTAAATCGTTGATGAATATATTAAATAATACTGGTCCCAGTACTGACCCTTGAGGCACTCCACTAGATACAGGCCTCCAACTAGACTCCGCCCCATAGACTACAACTCTCTGGCTTCTCTCCTTCAGCCAGTTCACAGTCCACCTCACTACCTGATCATCCAGACCACACTTCCTCAATTGAGCTGCGAGGATGCTGTGGGAGACTGTGTCAAACGCTTTGCTGAAGTCGAGGTAGACCACATCCACCGCTCTGCCATCATCCATCCACCGTGTTATTTCCTCATAAAAGGCTACGAGATTGGTCAAGCACGACTTCCCCTTGGTGAAGCCATGTTGACTGCCCCTCATAACCCTCTTATCCTTGATATGCCTTAAGATGGCACCAAGGATAAGGTGTTCCATCACTTTCCCAGGGATGGAGGTGAGGCTAACCGGTCTATAGTTACCCCGGCCCTCACCAACAGAAGGAGGTTAATAGCAATTTAATGTTAATTCTCACTACAGCTCAGGCAGCAGCGAAGTGCTTTTAAAGACTTAATGGAAACTGATATACAATCACCATACTCCTAATTTATCCCCTAGCGTAAATAAAGTGGAAATAATTCTAGTATATTTTGACATCATTTAGGAGGATAATTAAAGCCATAAAAAAATCCTGATTTTTAGGAAAACTGTGCAATCCTCTTCACCAAACTTCATTGTCCTATGGGAGGCAGCCTTTGTCTCCCCAGCTTCCTCTAAATGATAAAAAGGCACTTGAGAATAAAGCCAAACTGCTAATTTTTACTTTTAAAAGAGTGAAATACAGTAACATCACAAGTAGTGAAGTCATGCCCACTGCTGGTAGGTCAGGTTCAGCTCTGTGACGCTACATTTCCAATACCAGGCCATGGAAGGAACAGTCCAAAGCATGGAGATGTTTATCTATGTTAAAATATTATTTGGGAATATTTATAGCAAAAATAGAATATAAATCACAGGCCAAACCTTGGGGGTTTTGAATTGCACTATGTTTTCAGAGTTATAATCTTGTTGTGACACACCAGGACTGGTATATAAACAGCAGCCCAAGCGTCAGGTTTTAAAATGCACACTTGTCAACCACCAGCTGATTACTATTTGGTAGCTTCTCTTACATGAAAGTTATTTCACAGCTGCCTGCACCAAGATGTCCTGCTCAGAAGAGATCACCAGAGATGACAGCTTATCTTTTGGTACAGTGACAGACTTCACCTTATAGAACTACTGTTCCCCACCCTCTTCTCTTTAGAATAAGATCATCTTATTACAATGTGATCAGCTAGACAATAAATCCTTATAGAATTTATTGTTAATATCTTTGAATATATTGTTAATAACTTTCAAGAAGAGACAATTTTCACATGCTAAACAAGCTTAGGTGAGACTGCAAGAATTGACATCAGACAAACGCTGCTGTACAAACCCCATTACTTACCTACTGTTTTAGAGAGATGTGAGAACTCCATTTGCTTAAACAAGTCAATGTGCCTTCAGCAAGTTAGCTAGAAGGCTGAAACAACAGTATAACAGGCCTGATGGATTAAATATAAAAGCATTCAAAACAGAGAACTAAGAGAATCCCAGGAACACTTACCAAAAAAGTAGTATGTGGCACAGAAGTTTCTAACAAAATAGAGTGATTCCGCACAACTGTGTCTAATGAGGAGAGGCAAAGATCTTCTGAAACGCAAGTACTTGTATTGCTAAAAGACAAACACCAAATAATTTAGTATTCTGCATTCCTGACAAATCAATGAAATGAGTAAAAAGAAACCACAAGGTACTTGAAAACCTGAAGCCTAGATGAATTTAACTCAACTTTTAACTTAAAAGATTAGTTTAATGGAATTCCAAGAGTTACACCTATTTCTTCTCCCAGTCTCTGCCATTTGATCATTGCCACTACTTCTCAGCCCTTTTCCTACCTGTTGCAGTATGAAAATGAATGACAGGGTAAACTGACTCTAAACACAGGTGAACAAACTAGAAGGATGCTGTCTAACAGAGATTAAACATACCTTGTCAGTAATCCTCTAGGCACTAAAACCACTGACCCCATACAAATAATTCTATGTCTTCCCAAATGACTAAAGCAACCCATCTGACACTACATGGAAATGAAACCAAAGAGATTTAATTTTCTTTTACTTTGTTAAATTACATTTTTAAAAAGTATGTATTTCAATGATAGAATTTTTTAAAACACTATAGTTACAGCATTGCCAAAATGGAGCTTGCTTTGCTCATAACCTGAATGGTCATGACGTGAATGCTTCCCACTAATACAACCAACCCTGTTTAAAGATACCCTCTTCCAAAATGGTTGGACTTTGGGAATCGTGCAAAGCTATTGGCTGCTGTAAGGCTACAGCAACAGAATTATCTTTAGGATGATGTTTCAGAAGCTGCTCCTCACCATTCTGCATCAGTACAGATTTCTGTAGAACTGCTATCGCCTCCTCCAAAAGGATTCATAGAACTGCAGTTTCCATAGTGCTACAGGCATGAACGAGCTCTGGATGTTGAGCTTTAAGCAAGATTTAATGTGTTATTTAGACTTAAGTGAGCTGCTACACAGTTACAACTGACAGAATCACTTATGGTATTTTACTTGCAAGATTTTCAGCTTTTAGGTGAATTGGGGTCAATTCCAGGAGTTGATCACTCAGTTTGTGTATACTGTCTCTTTCCTGTAGCTCACCTTCTGCAGTGGACTACTTCAACCAGCTTTTAACATGCATCAGAGGGATGCAAACATTATGTGCTCAGCCCTTCAGATTTATGTGTTCATTTGAAAAGTTGAGCAAGATGAACACTATCAGCATTTAAAGCTGAGTGCACTCTTTACCTACTAGTGAAAGCAGGCCAACAGACAGCTGCTACTGCCATACCCAAAACATAAATAATCAAGGCTTTTTTGATCACTCTTTTACATAGCCATCTTTCTGCAAAGGCACTTAAATATCTTACCTGTATGATTGGAAATGGCAAATAATTCATGTTGTTAATAAGATACAAAAGGCTGTAACTGTATCCCATGAAAGCTCCAGAAAGTAGAAAAAAGAGGTGATACTCATTTAGGCACATCTGAGGAGGAGCAGCATCATCTAGGCTAAAAGAGAAAACTTAGTTCTAATTCTGAGGTTACAAAACAAACACACACAAGTCATTCTAACCTTAGGAAATTCTAATCAGAAATGATCTGATTTTACTTTCCTGATTAGTATATAAGATGATATCTCAGTAAGTTTTTCCTAAAGCAGGAATTTCCCCACCTAATTTATGCATGCTAATATTTCCTATATTCATAAAGTCCAGAGTTAAGTTCAAGCAACTTGTCATCATTCAACTTTCCATTAAGAATCCTGTCAATTAAGCTTTTCTAGCCCAGTTATTTCTCTGCATATTGTAACATTTACATAGGAGGGTATTTTCTATCCTTTATATAAAGGATATCGACATATAATTGCTTATTTTTTATAGTACTCTGATTCTAGGGTTTTGTACGGAAGAAGCCAGCAGTAAATACATTTTACAACAGAAGTTCTTGATATAATTTTTTAACACAAATTATTACCTTTCTGAAGGCATGCAGGGCACAGCAAGAAACTGGAACTTCCCTTTTGTCATCACTGCAGCACACCAAGCAACCAACATTCCCATGACAGCATGAACAACAGAATGGATAACTTGCTGAGGGTGAACAATTTTTCCTATCAGTGCTATTCGAGAGCATGGTATTGATGGCACAACTGTGGATACAAGCCAAAAGTGAATTTTCAATTGTTACTAGTAAAACCCTTCACTAGAAGACAAGAAAAACACTATTATCACCAAAGAACTTTCTACAGTTGGAATCAGTCTAAATGATACAGAAAACAATAAAGCAGCTCAGCTAAGAGAGTCTCAGCCATGAGGTAAGCAGGAATCTGGGATGATTTACTTAAAAATAAGCTTTGTATATTGTCTGTATTAATTTTAAAGGAAATTTACCAATGTTAAGTACATCAAACATAAATATAAATCTCTTCAAATGGTTATCCTATTTCGCTTGGGTATCACAGAGAGCTCAGCAATTTACATAACCCACCTGCATAAAACTCGGCGTTGAAGATGCTTACTACTAGAATCACCACAGACATAAGGAGGATACAAAAGATGATGTAGGAAGAATATAAATCATTGAAAGAATCTGGAATACAAAACCAGAAAGTCATTACTGTGTGCAAGATTGCAGTAACACAACAGTGACACAAGGACCAACAGAAAAGAACACTTGTGCAGTTAGCAATAGTCCACCAAAGGCATAAAGGGGAGTAATGTTTAATAGACTATAATCTCCTAACAGCTGTCCAGCTGCAAAACATTCCTGCATAAAAGCATATTGAAATTTCACATAAACTATTTTATACCCTCATAACTTTTTTTTTTTATAATTGAGCACTCAATTTTGTTTTAAAAATCTTTTAAAGTTACTTAAACTATAGTTCAATTAACACAGCCTCCTTTCCCTTAATAAAACCTGCAACCATACAGTGACACTTGAAAGGTAAGAAGTTCCTTCCATAGTAAAACCTTATTATTTCTTTTGGGCTTTTGGTATTTCTAAAGGAGAACAGAAATGAAGTCTCTCTGAGCAGTTAAATGATCGCAGATACCAAGTTCCCATCTAAAGAAGCTGAGGAAAGAGATTCTCCCCCTCTACTCTGCGCTCCTAAGAGACCCCCTCCTGCAGTCCTGTGTCCAGCTCTGGGGCAACAACAGAGGGATGGGGAGCTGTTGGAGCGAGTCCAGAAGAGGCTACAGAAATGCTGCAAGGGCTGGAGCAGCTCTGCTCTGGAGCCAGGCTGAGAGAGCTGGGCTGGGTCAGCCTGGAGAAGAGAAGGCTCCTGAAGGGGAGAACTTAGAGCAGCTCCAGTGCCTAAAGGGGCCGCAGGAAACCTGGAGGGGCTTTTTAACAAGGGCTGGAGCGACAGAAGGGGGAATGGCTTTAAACTGATTTGAGATTAGGGAGAAGGGACTGAGATTAGCTATTAAATTAGATATTACTAGTGAGAAGCTCTTCCCTGCAAAGGTGCTGAGGCCCTGGCACAGGGTGCCCAGAGAAGCTGTGGCTGCCCCATCCCTGGCAGTGTTCAAGGCCAGGTTGGACACAGGGGCTTGGAGCAAGCTGCTCTAGTGGAAGGTGTCCCTGCCTGTGGCAGGGGTTGGAACTGGATGAGCTTTAAGGTCCCTTCCAACCCGTTCTATGGCTCTGTGATATCCCCATTTTCCGTGTGCACACCCTCACCATACAGAGCGGCTACTTCAGGAATTCCATTTGTGATTGAGAAAGTTACACTTCAAACGCTGAAGATCAATCAGAAACTCACAAAGCGGGCACGTTACACACACCACAGGCACTTCCCGTTATCTGAGCCCGAGCCCAACACCACAGACGGGAAAGACCCACGAGCACAACGGGGAGCAGAGCACCTACTCGAGATCCAGCGCACCGGGTGGAACGGGTCGAGACCGCTGAGCATGACGAAGGCCGCGGTGCATACGGGCAGCAGCAGCACGGACCAGGCGACGGCAGCCGCCACCCTCCAGCCCAGCACCTGCGGGAAGGACAGCGTGAGGGGCGGCGGGGACCGGGGTCGGCAGCCCCGCAGCCTCAGACCCCGCACTCACCTGCCGGAGCAGCGCTCGCTGCCGGCCCGCTCCCGCCCCGGCCTCCATGGCCGCGACCCGGCCGGCCGCGCCGTGGCCGTTCAAAGTCTCCGCCGTTCAACGGCCACCCCCGCCGGCGCACGCCACTTCCGCTGCACGCCGGGAGGACTAGCAGGGAGCAGCCAATGGGAGGCGCGCAGATCCGCTTTCCCCGCCCCCTGGAGGAAGTGACAGCTCGGCTGGCCTATAAGGATACAGGTCCCAGTGGGTGGGGCGGGGCCGCGCATGGAAGTCTGAGGGAGGCTCGGTCATAGACGGGCACCGACACAGCCCCGCCCGACGCGAGAGGAACGGGGCTGCCCCGGGGCCTTGCACAACAGTTTGGCCTATGGGGTCCCGTAGGCACTGCTGCGCTGGCCTGAGGGCAGGGAGTCGGGTTGGGCCCGGGAAAGCAGCAGGGACACGGAGGGAACCGCCTTATAGGTGCAGCAGAGCCTCGGTGGTGGCACTGGGGGAGCCTCCCTTCCACCTCCACACCTCTTTCCAAACCCTCCCCACAGCTTCAGGGGAGAGTGTTGGGTATTTCATTCACAAGAAAAGACCCAAGCCACCTTCAGACACTTTATTCAGAGGTGTGGGGAGCATAGGCAGGATTTAAAGACAAAGTAGTGTAAAGGATTAAGATCAAGGGTTCATTCTCAATGGAACCACTGTCCATCACACATGGAGATGTCCTTATATCCATGGGCCATCACTGTCCTCTTATACAAAAGCATCCCTTCTTACTGCACTTCCCATGGGCTTCAGTGGAAAAATAACCTGAAGTTGCTGTACAGATGGAGAAATGGGTGTTGTGATCTGAAAGAGACAAATAACTGCATGAATACAGCTCCTCACAGGCACCAGGGGACACTGTAAGGCACCTATTTCTACCTAAATGCTGACATTCATATTGAATCTTCAATAGGCACCTGGGATGAGAAACTGGTTTTGCAGGAGGAAAGCTAAAACTGATCTGCATGATTAGGCTGAGTCACAGTGGGTTATTTTCTGTGACCATTTTTGTTAGGCATATTTGACCACTTCTATTTTCTTTTACTATTTAATCCAATAGAGCTCCTAGTCAGTAAATACTCCTGTTTCCACATACACACACATGTGGCTCATGTACTTGCAGCAGCCTGGCCTCTGCATGCGTGTCTGTCAGCCTTTTCCTGGGCCTGTTCCACATCTCAGCTCTCCAACAGAATTCAAGCCTCATCTGCCGCTGGCAGCACTCCCAGCTACCAGGAAGCAAAACCTCAAACCATCCCACACCAGGAATGTGATCCACAGGGATGGCTCTGCTCAGAGTCAGCCCTGCACAGAGATACACAGATACCCCCTAAACACAGAGCTGCTGCTCTGAAACACATCACAAACATTGAGGGGGGGGGGGGGGGAAGATCCAATTTACTTTTAACATTAAAGGAAAGGAAAATAGGAGTAGAATAGTTTATTACTTAAGTTTTACTTGTGGCAGTACAAACACTCTTGGGCTTTTATATGGGATTAAGGGAAAAAAAAACCCCAAACATCTTTCAAAGGACCTATGGGACTGATTATTTAATGTGTTTCTTCAGCAAGAGTAAACCTAAAAGAAAAGAAAGATACCATGTCTTTGTTCATCCGTCTTTTACAGTTTTATGGCTATATTTATAACTGCAAAAAAGTTCATAAATGGTATTTTTATATATTTTTGGCAAAATTGGGCTGTTAAACCCTTTTTCACCCAACCACAGTAATGGGGAGGAGTTTCAAGATGGCTGTGATGATTACAGAAGACAGTTTAGGTTGGGTTCTTACCTTATTTACAGACTCTTTGTTATTACTGTTGTTGCATTGTGAGCAGGGATGATAGGTGCAGGAAAATCCAGTTCAGGAGCATCAAAAAAGTACGCCTGTGTTATGCAGAGGACAGAAAAACTGTTTAGTGAGAAACAAAGAGTTCTCCCTCATGCCAGCTCTTCCTTTCCATACCCACTTTCACAAGATACAAACACAGCATTGAAATGGCAAATTTGGATCTTTTCTGGTTTTAACAGATTAGAAATGGTCAACTAGAATGGTGCTCTGAACAGTACTTTAAAATATAACGATTAGCAGCAAAGGCCCTTGAGAAAGACCTGTACTGGAAAGGACTGATGGCAAATATTTGACTGCTGTTTCAACCAATGAAGCTTCAGGCAGCCAACTGCAACAGGAGCCCCACTGAATCACAGAATGGTTTGGGTTGAAAGGGACCTTAAAGCTCATCCAGTTCCAACCCCTGCCACAGGCAGGGACACCTTCCACTAGAGCAGCTTGCTCCAAGCCCCTGTGTCCAACCTGGCCTTGAACACTGCCAGGGATGGGGCAGCCACAGCTTCTCCGGGCACCCTGTGCCACCGCCTCAGCACCCTCACAAGGAAGAGCTTCTGCCTAAGGGCTCGTCTCAGTCTCCCCTCTATCAGTGTAAAACCACTCCGCCTTGTCCTGTCTCTTCCTGCCCTTAGAAAAAATCAGCTGTAAGTCACCCAATAACATGAGCTGTATTTTGCCTTTGCCGCTGTGCACACTGGGCTGCAGGGAACCAAATATATCTACTGTGGAAGCTGAGGGGAGAACAGAACTGAAGTCTGGATGATACCATTCTACTTACTGCAATGAAGAGACAATAATAATTCAAGTACTCACATATTTCAATAGCATTAGGGTCTTCTGTTTTCAGAATGCTATATACTTTACTAAGTTCTAGCAGGTTTATATTTTCATACACAAAACTAAGCACACATTTTATACTGAACATTTAATCATTTTAAAGGACTAAGCATAGTACTCACTGGAACAATCTGTGACTGGATAAAGATTAATACTTTGCTGATGCTAGACTGAATTAATGTAAATTTAAAACTGTTCCATGAGTGACTTTGTGGGAGTTGGACTCCATCCTTATGGATTCCATCCAGCTCAAGATATCCTATGATTCCATAATTCACTATAGTTTGTTACTAGCACTGTCAGACTGGTATCAATTTTTCCTCATTTAAAATAAATGTGAAGTACTGTTTCTTTCTTTATTAAAAAAGACTTTCCAGCAAGCAACCAACACCTCCTTCCCTGCACCATAACATGTCAGCAGGCCCAGGAAATACGAGGTTAGAGGAAAGGGAAGGCAGTGTCATACCAAGCAGCCGACAGCCAGCAGGGCATGGAGCAGAACCACAGTCCCCACAGTTGCCAGCGCAATCCTGCGGTTGTCATCTCGGACAGCAGGCCAGAAGGTCATCACCAAAACAGAGCCAGAGAGGCACAGGGAGAATATCATCAGCACCCAGCGCACCACTTTTTGGGGAATGATCCATAAAATCTGTAAGAGGGAGGAAATGGGTTGTTAGGAAATGGGGATTCATGTATTTGATGCATCATTCTGTGACATTTAAGCACTTCCAGCCAATTTGTGCACAAATTAACTCATGCCTTATCTGACTGTTACTTGAGGAAAACAAAACTGCAGTGAGTATCTGAAGGGGGCCTATAGGGATGCTGGGGAGGGACTCTTCATTAGGGACTGCAGTGATAGGACAAGGGGTAATGGGATAAAACTTAAAGAGGGGAAGTTTAGATTGGATATAAGGAGGAAACTCTTCCCTGTTAGGGTGGTGAGGCACTGGAATGGGTTGCCCAGGGAGGCTGTGAATGCTCCATCCCTGGCAGTGTTCAAGGCCAGGTTGGATGAGGCCTTGGGTGACATGGTTTAGAGCAAGGTGTCCCTGCCCATGGCAGGGGGACTGAAACTTGATGATCTTAAGGTCCTTTCCAACCCTAACTATTCTATGATTCTATGATCCTGTGACAGGAGCATGTCCCCTGAGTTACGGCGCTCCCTCCAGGACCTGCTCCTTGCCAGAGTGGCCCAGGATGGTCCCTGCCAGGGAAACTTGTCCTTGGAACCATCAGCATTGCCATCCTGCACAATGACTGTAACTGGGGACACAAACATCCTGATGCCTGAAGCTGGCTCAGCTCCCTGCCAGGCTCACCAGCAGCACCCTTGCTTGGATGTGCTGCCTCTAGGAAAATGACCTGTCTTGGGCTTTTCCAGGACCCCCCAGACATCTTTACACTAAACAAGCTTCCATAAGCTTTATCATAGACAAACAGAAGGAGCAAATAATTTGCCTAGACCCCAAGATTTTGGTTAACATGAATAACATCATAAGAAATAGCAAACTTTCTAAACCAGGACCTCTTTGCAGGGCAGGTTAACAGAGGTGCACTCTTCAGGCCATACGTACCGCTGTGGGAATATAAACGAAGAGGGAGTAGCCATACACACACACTATCTCCAGGAACGAGTAGGAGACAATGTTCATGACTTTACTGTTCCTCCACATCAGGAACCCCCAGAGAGCAAGGGGAACAAGCCAAGCATATGCATAAATGGCTGTTGCTGCTATGGACACTGGAAATACAACAAAAAGTTTAATGTTTGACTTAGAATACCAGCCAGAATCGAAGCTTTTAGCCTGAAACTAGAAAGCTACTTTTGAAGTTACTTTCAAATTATAAAGTTTGAATTACTAATAAACTGAGGACTTTGTATTTATATCCAGTTTACACCTACTACTTTGCCAGCTCTTCAGGTTATTTTAAAAGTAAAGGCTCAAAGTATTCACTTGGTATTGTCAGGTTTTCTACTACACCCTGTGTCCAAAGTGCTATTGGGTTCAGTGTGAAAGAAAGAGCCACAGAGAAAAGAAACTTAGTTAGAAATAGGAATTCAGCTACTAATAGCTACTGAAAAATGAGAATAGAAGGCAGGCATGCTGCAGAATTCAAAGAGAACAGAGACACGAGTGTTAAATCTGAACCGATTCAAGTGACTGGATTCCCAAGAGGCAGCTCTCTTCCAAGCATGCTGTGGATTTTGGAAACAACCAGAAGCCACGTGCTTCTGCAGGGACAGCAGCCTCCTCCACACTACAAAGACAGCTATAGACAGCTGCCCTCTCCCTTTGAGCTCCCCAGGGCATGTATCAGTTGAGGAATTCCTGCTTATTTTTGAGTGTGGCAGAAGGTAACAACTCCCAGCCCTTGGTAGGTGATATGGGTGGTGCTTAATTTAGTCATTTTCTGTCTGAGGCCTGCAGGCTCCTTGGAGAAAGGCACCTACAAAAGCACTACTGTTGGGCTTTCACTCTGTACAAGCAGGCATTCACTAAGGCTAGAAAAGTAACTGCCCGAATTACTCCTGCTTGCTTTACTAAAACCCTGCAGCTACTTCATGCTCTGGAGGGCTGGTGTTCTGCCAGTTACAGCCCACTGTAAGGAATCATTACACATCTCTCAAGATTTAGAAAGAGCAATCAATCACAGGACTGCTAAATCAAAGCTGTGACCTGGTTTTTGTATTATTTCATTAGCCCATTGGAAAAAAACCCACAACCAATCAATCAAACAAAACCCAAACTAAATAATCAAACCCACAAACTCAGGACTGTATCAAGTACTTACAAACCTTTTCTGAACTGGGGCACATAGTGGTATGTTGGTTTGCCCAGATGGATGAAGAAGTTTGAGAGATTGCCACTAACAGCAATGGTAAAGACGAGTGTGGCACATATCCAAAAGGGACCTTAAAAGGAAACCAACAAGTTCAATAACTCCTCTGCCCTCTCTCTTTAAGGTTAGCAAATAAAAAGAAACACAAACTCACACCATTTACCACAAAAGATAAAATTCTCACCCCTCACACCTACCATAAAGGTCGGGATTGCTACGGATATACAGCCTTACAAAGTTCTTCCCTGGTACTGGGAAAACTGAACCCTTGATTCTGTCCAGGACCTGTGAAAACAGACAGATTTGCTTGACTGAAAAGGCAAACAGGAAGAAAAACCTCAGTGTCTGGATAAAGCACAGTTCAGACAACAGTTCTGCTCTGGAGTGTATTCACCTGGTACGTGTCCACATCAAAGAACGTCTGGTAGTACTCAAACGTCCAGAAAGGGGCACTTTTCTTCTGTCCTGCAAGCAGCTGCATGGTGGGAAAGGCAATACAGAAAATGAGACAAGCATGCAATTTATATATTTATCTATTTTTATATTTATAATTTATATATTTTATATATATGTTCATTTAAACAATAGCAGCCTTCCAGTGTCTGAAAGGGGCCTAGAAGGATGCTGGGGAAGGACTCTTCATTAGGGACTGTAGTAACACGACAAGGGGTAATGGGTTAAAACTTAAACAGGGGAAGTTTAGACTGGATCTAAGGAAGAAGTTCTTTACTGTTAGGGTGGTGAGGCACTGGAATGGGCTGCCCAGGGAAGTTGTGAATGATCCATCCCTGGCAGTGTTCAAGGCCAGGCTGGACAGCACCTTGGGTGGCATGGTTTAGTGTGAGGTGTCCCTGCCCATGGCAAGGGGGTTGGAACTGGATGATCTTAAGGTCTTTTCCAACCCCAACTATTCTGTGGTTCCATGATTCTATGATTTCTGTACCCAGATAAAAACCAAACTTAACAGGGTGGCGCTTACTATGAATTACTTAACATTTTCCCCTTCCCACTCTACTGTCTATGTTATGTTAGCAGCAACTGGATTCTTATCTCCCTGCAAGGACAGTGGCTTAGGGTTCCAAAGAGCAGCCTGATAACACCTTTTGCCACATCATAATACACACCTTCATCAGCATCACAAATTCCCTCACTGTTGTCAATGGCTGCATCAGCTGAACCCTTCTAACAAGCCCTGGCTGTTTCAGAAGGTTTTCTGCTCTCCTGCCAGTCACCAAGCCCACAGCAAAACCAATGGGAGTAAGTGCACTGCTGGTCTTTCATAGATCATAGAATCCCAGAGTGGTTTGGGTTGGAAGGGACCTTAAAGCTTACCCAGTTCCACCCCCCTGCCACGGGCAGGGACACCTTCCACTAGAGCAGCTTGCTCCAAGCCCCTGTGTTCAACATGGTCTTGGACACTGCCAGGGACGGGGCAGCCACAGCTTCTCTGGGCACCCTGTGCCAATATCTCACAGCAAAGAACTTCCTTATATCTAACCTAAATCTACTCTCTTTCAGTTTAAAGCCATTCCGCCTTGTCCTATCACTTATTTCAGCTGCTGCTGTGCTCATCTCCCAGCATATCAGCTCAACTTAAATCACCACCACTGCAGTACTACTTCCTGGCCTGCAAACAACATCAGCTGAAGAGCCAACACACATTTGCTTTTGCCAGTTCTCCTGTCAAGAAAGTAACCTGCAAGGGAGAAGCAGGAGAGTGTTCAGTCACCCAGCACGATGCCCTAGTGCCATCCAGAAACCTCTCAGTGCTGTCAGCACGATCTGTAGATATGCCAATGGAGGCACTGCAGGTGTAAGAGCATCACCTCTGTTTTATCGGAGTCATCGGTCCCCAGTAACTCATCATCCTCTTCTCTCCTGGGCTCCTGCAGGCGGCCGTGCTGATTCTTGGGGATTTCTGGCTCATCGATGCTTATTGTGGTGGCATCAGGATTTGCTGCAAGCAAATTAGCTGCATCGTCAAATTCTGCAAATAAGTACATTACGAGACAGGCAGTGATCAAGCTACCAACGCTTCCATTCTCATGGCTCAAGAAACTACAGTAAGACCCCTACATGGCCCAAGAAGGGATTCATCAACAGATGAAGCTTGTCAAATACAACCTGTGTCTTAAAGCCCAGACTGACAGGGATCAAGCTGAGCATTGACTTGGTTAATAAAACATGAGGGAGTCCTTCCTGCTAATCTGCACCATGATAAACCAAGGCTTCTCCTTCCTGAGGCCAGCGTTAGTCTGAGGGCCTGCAGGTCTCTACGATGACAAAGGGAAGGTGCCTCTCTAAAGATACTACAAAAACAGTTCATTTTAATCTTCTCCAAAAATTACTTATTTCAGGCCTACATGTACCTATCAAGAAGTACACAAGTCAGGACCTACGGTCCATTCCAAACCACAGAGCACTCTGCCTGTTTGCAGCTTCCGCTCCCTACCACAACCGGTTCTGGTCAACCCCGGTTACGGTTTTCAGCTCCCCACCGCACAATCTCCTCTCAGGAGCTGGAGATACTCCTGACACCACTTGCCAAACGCAGCTTTTACAAAGAGAACGTTCAGAAACGCTTCCCCGCCTCTAAACGCCCCGTCAGCCGGGCCCCAAACCTAACGCTCGCACCTTTACCTTGGAACTTGAGATCATCAACGGCCGCCATTCACAAGCCGGTTGGAGGAACAGGTCCCCGCGGCCTCGATCCTCCGGACAGACGGACAGCGGCAGCGCTGCCCCCGCTGGGCACACCGACCCCAGGCCGTCAGTGCCGCCCCTCTCCCCGCCCCGGCGCAGCACCGGGGAACGGGCCGCACCTCCGGTCCCACGGCACAACCGCTCCCGGAAGCGGCCGCTCCGCGGTCTTAAAGGGGCAGCGAGCGCTACGCAGCGGCAGCCAATCAGCAGCCGCGCTGCTCCCCTCCTCTCCCCCGCCCCTCCGGCTCCAAGGAAACACACCGGCGGCGCTCGCTGCGCCGACCAATCAGCAGCCACGCAGCACGACCTCTGACGTATGTGCCCGCCCCCTTAAAGGGCCCGCGGAAGGTGTGGGGGCTGCCTGAGCCCGGCTGGGGTTTGAGGAGCGGGTAGCGGCTGCTGTACTGTGCGCACGTATACACACATAGCTTATATATATATATAAAGTATTGTATATACATGTACTTACATGTCTTATTATAGCTGTATAGCACGTATTTTGATAATTCATGGTTATATCATTACACATATTCATAGAATCAGACAGGTTGGAGAAGACCTTTAAGATCATCGGGTGCAACTGTTGCCCCAGTGCTGCCAAGGCCACCACTAAACCGCGTCCCCAAGTGCCACGTCTACAAACCTTTAAATACCTCCAGGGACGGTGACTCCAGCGCTGCCCTGGGCAGCCTGTTCCAACGCCTGAGCACCCTCTGGGGAAGGAATTGTTCCTAATATCCAGTCTAAACCTTCCCTGGTGCAGTTTGAGGCCATTGCCCCTTCAATCACTTGTCACTTGGGAGGAGCCACCTCCTTGCTCCATCCTCCTGTCAAGCAGTTGTAGAGAGCAACGAGGTCCCCCTGAGCCTTCTCCAGACCAAACCCCCCAGGTCCCTCAGCCATTCCCCATCACACTTGTGTTCCAGGCCCTGCACATAACTGCTGGTGAGATCAGCCCCTCAGGTTGCTGGCATAATAAATGGTTCAGGGAAAACATCCTGATTCAGCTCCTCCCATTAGGAAAATACACGTCTGTGAATCAGCCTTACAACCATGCAGGTGGCACTGAAAATCTACCATCACTGTCATTAAATCCTTTGGTGTAGATGGGCAAAGCACTGCTGACAGGCTCCTCACTCACAGACAGTAAACTCCAGGGAGAGGTGACAGTGTGCAAAGCACAGCAGAAATGTGGCCAAACACGTGAATGTTTTTCCTCCCCGTCTACCTTTGCCCCTGCCATTGCCCTGTGTTGCTGTCAGGTGTCAGAGCTCCTCCACCACAATGCTCAGCATCAGGGTATTCCTCCAAAAACTCCTGATTCTCCTGCACGTTTCTCTGTGTGTTGTCGTTGGCAAAACACTGATGATTCTGTTCCCCAGTGCCATGAAAAGATACATCTTGAAACTGGGTGAAAAGAGCAGAATGAATGAGAATCCAAAGTTCAGCTATGAAAACTGGGGTCCGACGTTTTTCAGCTTCAAGTATCTGCTCTTTGTGCTGAAGGTGAAGTGGAAGAGGCTGGAGGACGAAGCCTATGAGGGACACCCTGCTCCCAACACACCGGTGGTGACACTCGACGGGGAAGTTCGTCACCTCCTTGATTTCATGCAAGGTCAGTAAATCAGCTGTGCGGATGGGTTTGGCTTGCCAAGGTGGTAACTGAGAAGGTGATGCTGATCACAGAATCATAGAATCAACCAGGTTGGAAAAGACCTTTAAGCTTATCAAGTCCAACCATTATCCCAGCACTGCTAAGGCCACCAATAACCCATGGCAATGAGGGCCTCGTCTACACAGTTTGTGAGCACTTCCAGGGATGGTGACTCCAGCACTGCCCTGGGCAGCCTTTGGGGAAGGAATTGTTCCTCAGCTCCATCTAAACCTCCCCTGGTGCAGCTTGAGGCCGTTTCCCCTTGTCCCATCCCTTGTTCCTTGGCAGCAGAGCTCAGCCCCTCCTGGCTCCACTCTCCTGTCAGGCAGTTGTAGGGAGCACTAAGGTCCCCCCTGAGCCTTCTCTTCTCCAGACTGAACCCACCCAGGTCCCTCAGCCGTTCCCCATCACATTTGGGCTCCAGGCCCTGCATCAGCTCCACCCTTCTCTGGACCTGCTCCAGCAACTAAAGAGTGAACAAGGACAGGCAGTGGTGTGAGAGTGTGCAGTGATTCCCAAGCATTGGCTGCCATTCCTTGTACAGAAATCCACACACCAGCTCCCTTGGCCTAAAGCCAAGAAAGCACACGATGGTTGTTTTTTTTCTAGATACAACATGGCTAGAAATAAAGCAGAAGAAAAAGCAGCTGCTTTGTACTTTGTCCACTGCCTCCCACCGAGACCTCTGTAGAATGTGGAATTAATCATTAAGCTGCAGTTTTGATCCCCATGGGAGGCATTACATCCTTCTCTAACACTGCTTTTCTCATTTTTTTATATATATATATATATATATATGTATGTATTTATGCAGAAAATAGGATGCAAATTTGGAGAAGATACATAATATCTCCAGGAAGGTACCTGCTTTACTAGATCCTTTAGGACATGGATCCATGTGAGCAGCAGGTTTTGAAGTTAAGCCCAGCCAGAAGGAAGATCTTGAACAAATTTCAGATAATTCAGCATAACCATAGACTAAAAGAGGTGCTTTATTATCCTGCAAGTCCTCTGAAATTGAGGCCTTGCAAAGAGATGCTCAGGCCTATAGGCACATCTGTGTTAACTTGTAAGCAACTGCACAGATGCTTTTGCTAGTGGCTTGTGTAACATTAGTTTAATAAACAGTAGGATATAAACAAAGCTGTGTTTGGACAGGGCACTGCAGAAATACACCAAAAGCACTGACTCCTGTGATGCATGACTTCAAAATCTGCAGCTTCCACCCTGCTCAGATACAAGTGAAAACAAACCAAGACATGTCCAAGAGGTTCGTTAAAAAGGGATTAGGACTCTGTGTGTCCATCCCTGAACCACTGTCCTTTGGAAAACCTCACAGATGATCATGTTTAGGATCTCTGAAGTCCTAAGGATCTTTGGAAGCTGCAATATGCTACATGCTGTATATCCATTTTGGACCAGTTCCCTATCCTGAAACGTTGGTCATTTGAGAATCAGATCTGATGAGGAGCATACGGGAGAAGCTGTGTGACTGTACAGTGCCTCCTGCCATTAGTGGTCTCTACAGTGGAATGGGTCCCCCTCAGATAAGCTCGTTGCTGGACCCAGCACAGGTCAGAGACAAGCTAGGGAAAAGAAAGAATCTTTCTGCCTGTTTTGCATAGATGCAGATGTCCTGCTGCCAATTTTTATGTCCCAGGAAGAGAGTTATGGGCTAAAGTGACATAAATGACTTTCCTACTGTTGCCCAGTAAAGTCTGTGGCAGAGGCCGAATTCACTGTGTGTGTATTTAACTCTGCCCCCTTCTCCCTCCACTGATTTAACCACAAACTGTCCCATTTTTTTCCAGACAACCGGCCTTTAATCCTGAATTTTGGAAGCTGCACCTGACCTTCATTTATGTTAAAATTTCATGAGTTCAACAAGCTCATCCAAGATTTCAGCTCCACAGCAGATTTCCTCATTATCTACATTGAAGAAGCTCATGCCATAGGTACAGTACAAACATCACAGTAACAGCCACCAAAACTTCAGACATGGAGCAGTCCCTTTAGGAAGAGAAGTATCTTGCCAAAGGAGGGAACTGCAAATAGGAAAGACATCTTCCTCATATCTAAAGTGGCAACACACTGGTTTGTGTCCCTAATGCTCCACAAAGATTTTACTCACATATCTCACTTTACACTGAGGTACTGCTGCTGGAGACACTCATCCCTGTGCAGGTGAAGCCCATAGTTGTATCTTTACAAACCTTCCTCTCAGTGTTAGCACAGCTCCTTTCGGAAGGAAAAAACAAAGCGTTTCAGAGCACAAAGGTTAAGTGTAAAATGCCAGTGTGTTATGTGTTTGGGGTTTTAAATGATTCATTTTTAACATGTTTCAAGAACAGACTCCAATCTGAAAAATGTAGCAAACTATATATACTTTTATCCATGCTGAACTCCAGGTAACACATTGGCACTGATTATATCCCAGGGTTAAGGTGGTCTTCTAAACCAACATTTACAGTTTTCAGGTTTTCAAACAATACATCACTTTCTGTAGTTGAGAAACGGTACCTCAGTCACAGAATGCCAGACTGGTTTGTGTTGGAAGGGACCTTAAAGCTCATCCTGTTCCAACCCCTGCCATGGGCAGGGACACCTTCCATTAGAGCAGCTTGCTCAAAACCTTTTAACCAGTTTCTACTTCCCTAGGAACAGTTGCATGCAAACATGTGTTTGTGTTATTCCCGGAAAACAAAGATGAGCCCTGGCTGAAATGCTTCACTTCTCACAGAGATGAAGTTTTGTTGTATAGGGTTAATGAGCAGAACGACGCAGAATGAACAGTGCTGCTGTTGTGACTGTGCTAAATGAACGGGTGTCAGCCAACAGCACTACTTACCATTTTAAAATCCCCTCTGCGCCCAACACTTTGACAAACCTTACCTAAATAAGGCACGTATCCTCCACCTGATATCTTTCTATCACAGTGTATCTCCACCCGTAACACCTATTCCAAATGTTCCTTGCTAACTCCCTTTCTCATTTGTTTTAGATGGATGGGCCTTTAAAAACAATGTCATTATTAAAAATCACAGAAGCCTTGAAGATCGAAAAATGGCAGCCCAATTTCTTCAGACAAACAATCCTTTATGTCCAGTGGTTTTAGACACTATGGAAAACCTGAGCAGTGCAAAGTACGCTGCGTTGCCAGAACGACTGTATCTACTTCAAGGAGGAAAGGTTGTCTACAAGGTAAAAAAATATCAACAATAATAATGAGCGTAATATATTGAGATATTTAAATTTGTGAATAATTTCAGAATGTTTTACATCTAACTCAATTTCATTCTGTGTGAGAGAGAAAGAAATCAGAGTTCACTGTAACTGTGGAAAGAAAAGGACTTGCAGCAAAACCAGCCTGGGCTTTACAATGTACATACTTGATGTACACCTCAGTCTTGCTCAAATATTTATCTTCTGGCTCATTAGGAAACACAGGCACACCAAAGTTCAGATGCAGTAACACTCTCCAGCTCCAGGATCCACATCCTGGCCCTGTCACAGTTACACACAGGGTGTAACCTGTGCATACACTCTCTACCACGCAACGGCTGCCATGCAAAGGAAGCCCAACCACACCAACCTGTAGTCCTGCTGTAATTGCTGTGTGCTAAAAGGCTTGTGCTCTGTCTACTTTAGTGTCACTGTATAATATCATTGCCTTTGCAGGGAGGACCGGGGCCTTGGAATTATCACCCCCAGGAAATACGTGCCATCCTGGAAAAACTGAGATCAGAAATGGAGAGGACTTCAGAGTAAAGGCTGTCTGGATAAGAAAGCTCAATGAGTAAGGTTTCATAGACACAAGCAAAAGGGGAAAAAAAGAATTTAAAAATACCAAGAGACAACAAGAAAAAGAACTCTGCATGTGCATCCAGAGAGCATCTGTGAAGTGGTTCATTACGTGTTTGTCCAGAGGTTTTCAAGTCTCATTGCTACAACCCCAACTACTGCACTGCAGTATCTTACTGTGCTTACACCACATGTGGTAATGAATAGTAGTTGGGTCCACTGAGCTGTCAGGACTTGGTATCATCATTTATATTTGTAAAGAATATCATGCAGGATGAACTTGAGGGGTGGTGTCACAGGCTGAGGATTCTCTTGTATACACAGAACTCTCCTAAACATTCACTTTCACGGACTTTAGGCGGCTTCTGAAGCAAGACAATCTCCATCAACATTTGTTTCTATTAATATTTGTTGTGACAGTCACAGCTTAAAGCAGGGACGGCTGTGACCCGATTGTAGAAAATATTTATAGGAACAAGGGATTGATCTGCAACTATTAAAAACCTACCACAGCACTTCATATGGCTTCAGATTATTTCCCTCCTCACCCTGTCCCTCTTCCCCTCTGCGTTACTTCCAAACATTAGTAGACGTTTCTATTATAGTCATCCTATTAACCTTTGAATTAGAGTTGAGGAACTTACCAATTTAAGAACTTCTGAAGGATTTGACAGTAGGAAGCAATACCTCCCATTTAAGTATTTCGCACTTTTTTTTTTTTTAACTATTTAACTCAAAGTGCACAGGAAACATTCTCCAGAAAATCAGGTTTTAACTCATGTATTAAAGTCTGATACAAACATACTAATTTAAATGGACCCAGTTATATTGCAGGGCCACAAGGATGATCAGGAGCTGGAGCACCTTCCATAAGAAGACAGGCTGAGAAAGTTGGGGCTGGTCAGCCTGGAGAAGGCTGCATGGAGACCTCATAGCAGCCTTCCAGTATCTGAAGGGGACCTATAAGGATGCTGGGGAGGGACCCTTCGTTAGAGACTGTAGCAATAGGACAAGGGGTAATGGGTTCAAACTTAAACAGGGGAAATTTGGATTGGCTATAAGGAGGAAGATCTTTATTGTGAGGGTGGTGAGGCACCGGTATGGGTTGCCCAAAGAAGTGGTAAATGCTCCATCCCTGGCAGTGTTCAAGGCTAGGTCAGACATTGCCTTGGGTGACATGGTCTAGTGTGAGGTGTCCCTGACTGTGGCAGGGTATTGGAACTGGGTGATCTTAAGGTCCTTTCCAACCCAAACTATTCTATGATTCTATAAGTGTTTTAGGATAACAGTCTGGGTTATAAAACTCAAAAGCTGTTACTACAAAGATACTTCATTGTGATTGGACCCAATGATCTTAAAAGTCTTTTCAACCCAAATGATTCTATTCTATTCGACCCATTAAACCGGTGGGGAATACAAACTACACCCATACCTTCAAAAAACACTTTAATACGAGGTTTTAATGATAAATATTCTCTGCACTATAGATAGCAAAATATAACTTCTGTATATAACAAAAATAGGAGGTACAAATTTAAGCCAGACCTAAGTGTTTTCTGCTGCGCCCTCTGCTATCACCCGGTGTACTGATACAAAGTGATCGAAGGCAGATTTGATGATGAAACGCAAGTAAGTGGCTTCAAATTCAGGAAGCTGTAGAAGGAAAAAAGATGTTACTGCATTCTCTGTAGTAACAGCACTACCAAACAACTCTTGCAGAAGTTTGTTACCCTGAAGGATCTAGATCTTTCTGCTGTTTTTGAGTCACACATAAATCAAGCTCTTTTAATACATGCAGCCAGCTTCAGAGATTCTTGAGATGACAGGAATTCAAAAATAGTACCATTCCTTCCAAATCCTGCAGCCTCAAAGGCAACAATTGAAGGAGGAAGAACTGCCACGCTCCTGCAAAGAGCTCTTTCACATGATTACAAGCAGTAGGCAGATGCAATTTCATACCATAATCTACAAAGGAGCAGTCAGGAAGCGCAATTTCATGCCATGATCTACAAATTCCTGTCTCAAACATCAACTTAGCAATAACTGTAAATAAAGGCATGTTTTGATTTCTCCCCAGCTAGTCTAGACATCCAATTTCATGAACCACTACGGACATAGGCTGTAAATACTCACTGGAAATTCTTCCTTTTGAAGCTGTCCTTCTGTGTGTTCCAAATCTAGAAAGGATATTTTAAAGCAGATAATGAAGAATAGTGTGCAATGCTGGACTTCAGAGTTCAAGAGAGTTTAAGGACCATGAACTACATACAGAAATTGTTCTCTGGTTTTATTTTTACAAGGAGATTTAAGAGAACTACTTTTTGCAGTATCCCAGTGTACATACATCCCACTCCTTACACTGTTACATAAAATGTCACCCAAGGGACGTGAAAAAAACCCAACAAACCAACCAAACAATGCAGAAAATGGCACTCTATTATGCTCTGTAAGTCTGGTTTTAATTTTTGGAACATAAAAGCGAGTGCACAAACAGAGCTTTTAGCCCTCATACAGCATTTTACATCTCCAAACTGCTACAGAGACCAGCAATATTCATAAACTTCAATTAAATGTGATTATTACATTAACGTCTAATAAAATAATCATCAAGCTGCACTTGACTACTCAACAGGTAGACATGGGGTTACAATGAGTCAGTGAAAAAGATCCATGTTATTCCCATAGGATCAACGTTATTCCCATAGAATCCCGCTGCTTCAGATTCAGAATCTTACCTTTTTCAATGCACTCTTCAAAACCTACTGGGTCTTCGGATATGCTTCTTTCAATCCTTAAGGTCCGCACTAAAACATATATACGTTTAAAGCATCAACACAAATTCTGATTCTTTACTGATAATGCTGTTTATTCCATCACTTTTCATCTACAAGGTACTTTAAAAGCATTAACTAAGCCAGTCTTCCACTAACTTATGGGGCAGGACTAAGCCACAACACCCATCCTCATGTTCCAAGCTGGATAAACACCACGTTTTCACGCCTTCTGTGTAGCCTTTGCTCATGGTCAAGCTCTCACCTCCATGCTCTGACCTTGTAACAGTTCTGTCTTAGACCTCACATTTTCCTTCATAGTATTTTAAAAAAAGTAAGACTAAAGAGTTCTGTCCTATGAAATTATAAAAACCAGTATATAAAAATAAATCATTCAGTACTGCAGTCCTATCCATTAAATCAGAACAGCCATCTCTGTGCAACAGAACAGTTACGTGCTCAATACAAGTGTTGTAAGAACAAAGTGCAGGCGGGATAGGTTTTCCATCCTTCTTTTTACTTATGGAAACCTTTGGATGCGAAGGACAATTGCTTCGTGAAGCTAAATCTTTAAGAACCTGTTAAAAGTGGCTACTTCTATAGCATGACACTTTACTGTGAGGATTCACAGATTTTAACATGGTACATATGGTACTGCAATACATAAAGCCTTACCCAAATAACTCTGGATTGCGACTTTGCTGATTTTTACACGTTTAGGAAAACCAATAATGAGTTCCTGTGGGAACATGCCTGTCGTGGTCCAAAACGTTTCTGAGTTGCTGTGGAGAGAACAGGACAGACCCCTCACCTGCAGCTTTCCATTTATAACCATCTTCAAAGCAATTCATCACACAGAAAACAAAAAAAACCCATCCAAACCCACTTTAATTTGGGGTATTTAAAACAACCCTCTCTACGACAACGTGGAAGCTCTGTGGAGGTGTTAACACTTCCCCGCCCAGGCTCTGCACCCGAGCAGCACCACAGAAGGGCTCACAAATGGCGGGGGCTATGAGGTAACCTGATGGGGGCTGAGCCCGGCGCTGACGGGCAGCGCTACCGGTAGCCCCGGGGGAACGGATCCCCTCACGGCCCCTCAGCGCCCCGCGCCGTCCTCACCCGTCCACGACGCTCTCGGCAGGGTGCTGCTCGTCGCTGGACGTGGCCAGCACCAGGGCAGCCCCCGCCGAGCTCAGGCACCAGTCGGTGGCCTTCATCCCCGCGCGGCGCCGCCGCTACCAGGCAACGGCGACACCCGCAGAGCCGGCCCCGGGAGCCTCGCACGGGGCCCCGTGAGGAGCGTGGCGGTGTGGGAGGTTTGAGAGCGGAGAGCTCGTCCCACACAAGGGAATGGGAGACCAAGCGACACCCTCCGCCGCCGTTCCCAGCATGCCCCGCGTCTCCCCGGCCCGGGACCGGTCCCTGTCCCTGTCCCCGCCCCCGGCGCGGCTCCGCCCGCCGCCCGCGGGAGCTGCGGGATGGGCGGCGGGAGCGCGGAGCCGCGGCCCGGCTGACGGCGCGTCGGGGCGGCCCCTCCCGGGGCAGGTAGGTGCGGGCCGCGCCGGTGAGCTCCGGCGGGGAGCGGGGCACCGGGCGCTCGCCTCCCTTACGGCCGAGGAGGAGCGGGGGCCAGGCGGGGCGGGGACCCTTCCCCTTGCGCCCCTCTGGGCTGTACCCGGTTCACGGCGAGCTCACCCCGATCCCTTCACAGGCCCCCCGGGCAGGACCCGACCCCCCTCCTGTCCCCTCAGGGGTGGACTCGATCCCCTCGCCGCCCGCCCAGGGCAGGGCCCGATCTCTCCAGCGCCCCTTTCCCCCTCAGGCAGAGCCCGACCTCCCCCCGCCCCGCAGGACCGGAGCCCCCAGCCCCTCAGGGAAGGAGCAGACAGGATCCCGTCCCTCTCCGGCCCCCTCCATGGCAGGATCTGCGCCCTCCTCCTCCCGCCAGGACCCCTGCTCACAAACCCCTCGGTACCGGGTGGGGAAGGGGCAGCAGGAGCCTGCCCACCTCCCAGGGAGGGAGATTCTCCAGCGGGCTCCATTGCCCTGCTGCAGTCAGCCATTTGCCCTCTCCCTTCCTCCCTTCAGCCTACAGCAGAGCCAGGCCAAGCTCTGGAGGCTGCTTCCCCAGAGCCCCTCTTTGCCTGTGTAGGGCTGGGATCTTCTGATGGGCACCGAGCACAGAACAGCAAGGCCCTGCCACAGCAAATGCCCTTCACCTCTCTGGGTTCAGCTCCCCTTTGACTGGTGATAGGGTTTAATGGCAGACGGCGCACACCCCTGTTCCACACGGCCTGCCCTTCCTCGCACTGCAGGGTTACGTGACCGTGCTTGGGGCATTGAGGCGAGCTGCCAGGGTTTGGGGTCTTTCCTCTTGTGGCTGTTCTTTACCTACCTACGGTTTGTTTTTGCAGAGCTGGTCGAGGGGAATGTCTTACTGTCTCCACTCAGAAAGCCATTTGGATACTGGGCCCATCTATGTGCGTGAAAATGGGAAGCTGCATGTGGTAAATCAGG